AAAAATATGGTACCTGTGCCTAAATTATGTGAAAAGACTTCAGTCTCTTTTGGAGGAGAGATTCCCTGCTATGTCTTACACAGAACGGAAACAGACCAAATGCTGGAAGGCTGCCATTCAACGCCCCTTGTCCCAATATCAATTACAAGATCTTCAGGTGACCATGAAGATAGATTAGAGGCAGTTAAAAGACTGTCTCTTTAGGTCCCATGCAGAACGGAATCTAACCATGATTGCTTTCACCAAGAGCTCACCATGGTTCCCACTTATCAAAATGGAGCATGCCCAAGCCAGATACCTGACAAAGCTCCCACTTGCCATACTAAGTATCACTTTTACAGAACTACGATTCCGATCAATGCCCTTGGCGGTGTTGGATGGACGGTACGGCAAAGTACATTACGAAGAGAGACTCTGTCTGTGTGGACAACCCTGCGTCGAGGACCTGTGCCATGATTTATTGCAGTGCCCGTTATACATAGACCCAAGAGACCAATTTATAAAACTCCTGTTTACGAATGGAACACATTTGAATAGGGTGGAAAGGGTGAAATGGCTGCTGAGCGACACCAATGACTTTGTTACTTATAAAGTAGCACTCTATGCGCTGGTAGCTAAGAATATCAGGATGAAGGAACTAGAGAAAATAGCGGTCAACTGCAAAGGGGATTCGGATATTCAATTTGGCACATCTTACCTGAGAATCTACTGCTATTCTATTCTATTTCATTTAATGCAATAAATAATTTTAGTAGCAGTGACCGTGGTTGTATTGTATGTCTGTGCCCGATGATTTTTATGGTTTTTTTTGTTGTTTTGTTCTCCTTCTGAATGATGCCATGGCCTATGGCTAGTGCAATAAAAAAGTTTAATTGGCTAAAAATTGGGTAGAATGGGTTTTTCTTTTTCTTTTTCTGCTATGATGCTCTACAGCCTCAGCCCCCATTCACCCAGAGTTGGAGGTCTCCACAATCATCACACTGCAAAACAGAATGCAAGCACTCCCAGGATTTATACATATTACTTTTATTGTGTTATTTGTGATTATTTCTGCACATGATGCTATCTGGGAAGTCATATGCAATCCCAGTTTCAATACTATTTGTACCCACAAAGGTTTGCAGTCTTCATATTAACTGCTTCATTTCTAATCAGTCCATGTCCTGTTACTTTCTGCTGAAATCCTGTGACTTTTCATACCAGAAATGTTCTGTTGTGGGTTTTTCTTTTGGTCCCCTTTTACTCCATTACAGCCCAAGAGTGCCCCTCCAAATGGCAATAATGGAGTAGTGCTCAGGAAGTGTTGCAGAACAGCTACAAAAGTATAGCTGCATAGATGGTCCAGCATGAATCCATGACTACTCATGGAGTAATCCATGCACTATTATTGCATCAATGGCATCTTGCAACAGACACCTGCAAAAGCCCTCCAGTCTGAAGGGGTACCTCAACAGCCTGCCAGGGATGTTTTGGAGCTTTTCTTTAATACAGTTTCATAAATTTTTTTTGGCTTTAATATAGGTAAAAAAAACAGGTAAAGGACCCTGGACGGTTAAGTCCACTCAAAGGCGACTATGGGCTTGTGGCACTCATCTCGCTTTCAGGCTGAGGGAGCCAGCGTTTGTCCACAAACAGCTTTCCAGGTCATGTGGCCAGTATGACTAAAGCGCTTCTGGCGCAACATTACACCGTGATGGAAACAAGAGCAAACAAAAATGCTGTTTACCTTCCCACCACAGCAGTACCTTTTTATCTACTTGTACTGGCGTGCTTTTGAAGTCCTGGATTGGCAGGAGCTGGGAGAGAGCAATGGGAGCTTACTCCTTTGCAGGGATTCAAACCCTCGACCTTCCGATCGGCAAGCCCAAGAGGCTCAGTGGTTTAGACCACAGCACCACCTGTGTCTCTGGATATCATATACCTCCCAAATAACCATGTACTCTGGTGACAGGTAACTGTGTGGGACTCTGTGGAATAGTTCCACAGATGGTCCATGGGACAGGTGTCTGTGTGGGACTGAGTGGGGCAGCCATCACGGAGTTTGCTGATGGTGTGGCAAATCTAGATACTGTGAAGTATCATCATTAGTATTAATTTCATTTCTATTCCACTTTATAATCTTCATATTATATTCTTTCCCAGTTAACCTGTGAAGTTTCAGGGAGTGATATTAATGGAGTTGAGCAGGATCCCCTTACCTCTGCAAAGTTCTTCTAACATCCTAGAAGGGAAAAGAGGAAAGTCAGAATGGCATTCACTGCCTACCACAGGCCCTGTAATGAAGACCCATCAGCCCCTGCAATGGATGCCCTCTGGGGTGAATCTGCCTAGCATATGCCAAAGTTTTGGATAGGTATGGATGCATCTAACAATTCTGGTTTCTCTCCATTATTTTCCAGTCTTAAGTTCAGTTCTTTTTTATTTTAAATGTTCTGATGAAAATTCATGAGGTCTCCTCTGTCCTTCCTAGGTATCCCTAGTATCTTGGCCAGTGGGGAATTTATGAATAACTCTTCCAACTGAAAGAGTTCCTTTTCCTGAGATATATTTAACAAAGTTAGCCAAGCAGGTTCACACTACTTAGCTAAATCAGGTACTGCCAATCCTCTCTTCTGTGGGACAGTTTGCATAGTAACATTATCCACTCTGGGAAACTTACTTTGCCAAATAAAATTATCCATACTTTTCTGTCAGCTTTTCAATTCCCTCAAGTCAACCTAGAGAGGAAGAGTAAGAAACAAAACCAAAAACCTTGGCAGTATTGTCATGCTTATTGCACTGATCTTTGCTTCTCATAGAATCATAGGATTGTAGTGTTGGAAGGGATTCCAAGGATCATCTAACCCATATGATTTTAACTTACCCCACCCTCCATATCAGGTTTCTGATGCAGCCCTTGGCTAGTGCTTCCCCCCAACACTGCCATTCCGTGGGGGGCCAGGGGCGTGGTGGCAAGACCCCTGGCACCAGGCGGGGTGGGATCCCTGCAAGGGGGCGCCTGGCTCGCACCCCCTCAAAATCATGTGTCTGGCGCATTCTACTCATTATTTTCATTGCCATGATCCTACACTTTGTCGAAGGGAAACTCTCCACCAGAGTAGAAATCATATATTGAACAGATGGAAAGCTCTTTAATATGAGTAGGCTGAAAGCAAAGAGCAAGGTTACTGTAACTTCCGTCCTAGAGCTTCAGTATGCTGATGACAACGTTGTGTGTGCACGCTCAGAGGATGACCTCCAAACCATCCTAAGTATCTTCACAGAAGCTTACAAAAAGCTTGGCCTATCGCTCAACAAAAACCCAAAGTGCTGCACCAACACGTACAAAATAGCCCCTCTGCAGCACCACAAATCCAACTCAATGGTGTAACGTTGGAAAATGTCAATCACTTCTCCTACCTGGGCAGTTATCTTTCCACAAGAGCCAACATTGATGCCAAAATCCAGCATCGTCAGAGCTCTGCAAGTACAGCTTTCTCCCGATTGAAGTGCAGAGTGTTTGAGGACCAGGACATTCATAGGGAAACCAAAATGCTTGTTTACAAAGCTATTGTCCTACCAACCTTGCTGTATGCTTGTGAAACATGGATCACTTATAAACGCCATCTCCAGCTCCTTGAAAGATTCCATCAATGGTGTCTCCGAAAAAAATTTACACATCACTTGGGAAGACAGGCGAATTAATACCAGTGTAATGGAAGAAGCAAAGGTAACCAGTGTTGAAGCAATGATTCTTCAACACCAACTTTGTTGGAATGGTCATGTTCTGCAGATGCCTGATTATCGTCTTCCGAAGCAACTACTCTATTCCGAACTTAAAAATGGAAAGCATAATGCTGGTGGTCAACAAAAGAGGTTTAAAGACTGTTTCAAGGCAAATTTTTAAAAATGTAGTATAAACACTGACAATTGGGAAGCACTTGCCTATGAGCGCTCCAATTGGAGAACAGCCTTTACCAAAGGTCTCATGGGCTTTGAAGACACTCAAACTCAGGACACAAAGAAGAAATGTGCTAAGAGGCAGGCATGTTTGGCAAATCCACACAATGATCAACTCCTGCCTGGAAACCAATGTTCCCAGTGTGGAAGGACGTGTGGATCCAGAATTGGCCTCCACAGTCACTTATGGACTCATTGTTAAAACTGTGTTTATGGAAGACAATCTTACTCAGCTACGAGTGATCACCAAAGAAGAAGAAGTATATAGTCTCAGCGGCCACTCCCAGTAATTGAAACACGGGGTTCGTAGTTAACACCCCAAAATCCAACAGTGTCCAGGTCACTTCAAACCAGCAATGACTAGTTTTGCAATGAAAACCCAGTGTTTTACATCACCTACAAACTGACGAGTAACAATATATATTCCTTTTTAAAAAAAAGGTGTGGGTTGGGGAGGGCAAGTAGTCACAAAATGGTGACTATTGTGGAATGTGGGGGGAGTACAGAAACCCAATGGGGCAGGAATGAAATGCAGTGGCCTGGTGAATGGGGATCATTTCACACTGCAACCTTTTGTTGCAGTTGCCCATAATAGCAGGAGCATTAACAGAAAGCAGATAGGCTGTAGCGGTGGGCAGGAAACAGAAAACTGAGGAGAGGGTGTGTGTAATGGAGTATCTTGAGAAAAGGGTATGGCTGGCTGGGGTTTCTTGGGAAAGGGTATAGCTGGCTGGCACCCATAACAGGAGCATGCTCAGAAAGTTAACTAAATTTGGGGGTCCCTCCAAATCTGTGCCAAAGGTTTACAGTGAAAACCTGGCGTTTTGCAGCGCCCCACAAACTGAGTAATTGAAACACGGGGCTTTTAAAAAAAAATGTTTGGGGCAGGGAGGACAAGTAGTCACAGAATGGTGACGATTGTGGAGGGAGGATAGAAACCCAGTAGGGCGGGAATGAAATGCAGTGGCCTGCTGAACGGGGATCGTTTCACGCTGCAACATTTTGTTGCAGGTGCCCATGATATCAGGAGCATTATCAGAAAGCAGATTGTGCGGAAACAGGAAACTGGAGAGAAAATGGTATGCAATGGAGTATCTTGAAAAAAGGTTATGGCTGGCTGCAACCCTGAGCAGCGGCACCCTCCCTGCACTGCAACACTTCTCTGCCGATCTCCCGCTTGCTCTCCCAGGCGCAGGCAGCCGTGCGATGCGAGGTCTCTCCGGCGCCTTCCCGTGCGCGCGTCCCACCGCCAGGCGGCTCTGCTCCGGCGCCTCGCCGAGGCTCCGCTCTTCCCTCTTCCCGTCTCCGCCGGGCGCCTCGGCGGCGGTGGGCAGAGCTTCCTGGAGCAGCCGCAGCGAGATCCGGTCAGCAGCGTCTATGGAGATGGAGAGCTGGGGCTCCCGGGCGCCGGGGCTGCAGCCCGCCTAGGCGGAGGGAGGCCGGCCGAGTCCCCGGGAGGAGCGCGCACCGGAGAGGCCGCTTGCGCAGCGCTGGCGGGATTCTCCCGCGGCAGTTCCTCCCTTTTCTTTTCTTTTCCCTTCCTCTCCCCTCCTTGCAAAAGGCGACGGAGCCCCGCAGGTACTGGCCCCAAGCCTAGTTTAATGCGTCTGCAGCAGGAGAGAGAGCCAGCCTGCAAAAGGCGATCGTCCCGGGTATGTGAGGCTGGAGAAACGGATTTGGAGGATGGGGGGAAGAGCAGGCGGCCGGAGGAAAAGTTTGCGCGCCTGTCATGTAGGGAAACACGGGCGCGATTCCTTTCTAAAATCATGTGAAGGGTTCTTTCCCCCTTGTGGCCTTCCAGAAAATGATAAGTTTGGTGCAGTGAAATAAGGTGGGTGGGGGGAAAGGAAATGTAAAAGATGCTGAGTTTAGAATATTTGGAGAGGGCTGAGTATGCGGGTTGGGGCTGAAAGCAAAACCCTGTTAGTGTTCCGTTTTTAGAACAAAAAATGGTTGCAGTAGTAAAGGGGGGGGGGGGATTATAGCGTTGCAAGGGTCTTCTGGTCCAATCTGCTGCAAGGCATGAATCACAACTAAAGGAATCCCTGGCGGGTGGCTGTCGGAGCCAAGCCACCCCTTCTGACATCCCCCTTTTCTCCCTAACAGATTTTGGCAAAATGATGTGTGTGTTTGTCTTTGGAACATTTCCTCCTCCTGGGGGAAGAGAGATGGTTGCCGCGGAGCCAGTACAGGTAGAGAATGGAATTGGGGTGTGTGTGTGGTGGGACACAATAGCACTTTTGTAGTTTAAAAATATAAAAAAGAAAGATCCAACACACCTTTTATTTTCTGTTTCTTACAGGCACCGCCATTCTCCTTCGAAGAAGTGGCCGTGTATTTCACAGAAGAGGAATGGGCTCTCCTGGACGCAGAGCAAAGGGACCTTTACTGGGATGTCATGCAAGAGAATTATGAGAATGTGGCATCCTTGGGTAAGGAACTGCAGTTGCACCAGGAAGTGCTCCTTATTGGGCTATTTTTGGGGGGAAGGCTTCTCCCTTAGTTTATTATTGTACTTCAGCAGACCTTGGGTTTCTCCCAAGTGTGTAATCACTCCTCCCTCTTAATTCTTCATAGCCCCATTTTGGTTCTAATCCATAGCTGTCAGCGTTTTCCTTTTTTTAAGGGAAATTCCCTTATTCCGAATAGGATTCCTCGTAAGAAAAGGGAAAAGTTGACAGCTATGTTCTAATCTTACATTGCTCCGGCATAGTGTAAGAGAGCTCCTCCTCTGTTCTTAGCCGAGTGTCCCATTAGCTCAGCGTACACTTTGCACATGGAAGGTTCCCGCTTTATTTCTGCTTGCGTCAAGGACACCTCCGTCTTGAGACCTTGCAATGTCACACCCTTGGCAAGAACATGGGTTACATCTAATTCAATCCTAAATCTTCAATGCTCACAGCCCTGGTTCATCAGAAAGGTTCTTTCCCCTCCCCCCCAACTCCCCATGCAGTGCTGGTTACGGTTTCCAATCTTGCTTTTTCAAAATACAAACGTTTCGAAATAATTTTCATAAATGCCAGAAGAAGCGTTGGGTCTGTAATCCTGTGTCAGGCTGCAGCTAGCAGAGGAGTGGGGAGACTTGACCTTGATTAAATGCTCCTCCATGCAGTTAAAAACAAATAGCTAGTACATTAAAGAGAAGGGTCTGAGTCTCTGATTCTCCCCAGTATTTTTGTTGCTAGTCTGGTGCAACCAAACCGCATTTCCATCAGGCATTCAGGTACTTTTGTTTGTTTGTTTGTAAAAAAAGAGTGCCTTGGCACAGCTAGCCAGAGTTGGCATTGCAACCAGCTGAGACCCTTTGATCCAGCCTTGCTCTTCTGCGTCATGTTCTTATTAGTGTTTTCCTGCAGTAAAAACTGAGCAAAACTCGTCAAACGAAACAAAATGTGCCAGTATTCCTAGTGGTTGCAACCTGACATCCATTTAATGGGAGCTTTTAATTTCCTCCTCCCCCTTTTTTTGTTTTTGGACGATGGAGCCGTTCCAATTCCTAAACCCGAGTTGATCTCCCGGCTGGAACGAGGGCAAGAGCCATGGATCTCCAACCCCCAGGCTGCGGAGGACAAAAAGGTTCCCATCGGCTCCTGCCAAGGTGAGAGGGGAGGTTCCCAGCGGCATTGCAAATGGGTGCCCTTTCCATGAGGAGGGCCTTGTCTTTGGGTGCTTCCAGCTGAAATATGACAATGCGGGTGACAAATAGTATTTCCTTCATGGAACACCGGGAGCATAACGCCTCTCTGCCTGTCTCAGTCCTGGTATTGTTACCAAAATGGTGGGGTATTGGATTCAGGTAGGCAGTGATGTCGGGAATAAGTATGTCAAGGTAAAAAAACTGTTTAGGGATAGGGCATGAGTGGATGAAGCCCACACTAGAGGGAACAGATTGTTGGAAGCATGTGGGAGCATGTAGTTCTGCCCTCATTGTGCTGGAACTACTACTGCTATGAGTAGTAGCAGTAGCAATAGTAGCATATTACTACTACCAGTAGTATAAAATTTAGGCACCTGCCTTGAAGAGTGCCTAACTACCACTGGAACTACGACTACTAATATTACAGTGGTACCTTGGTTTTCGAACGTAATCCGTTCCAGAAGACCATTCGACTTCCGAAACGTTTGACAACCGAGGCTCAATGGACGGTCTGCAGAATCCATTGAGAAAATGGAGAAATGCGCCTCAGAAGCCGTTTGACTTCTGAGGCATGTTCGAAAACAGAAGCAATTACTTCCGAGTTTTCAGTGTTCGAAAGCCAAGAAATTCTGCTTCCTAGATGCTCGAAAACCGAGGTTCCACTTTAGCATTATTATTATTACTACTAGTAGTATTATTATTATAAAAAGTAGGCTCCTACTCTAAAAGAGTAGTTCTGCTTTAATTGTGCTGGAACGTCTACTATGTGTATTAGTAGTAGTAACAATAGTAGTATAAAATGTAGGCCCCTCTCTTGAGTAGTTTTGCTTTCATTATGTTGGAACCACTGTTACTACAAATATTAGTAGTATTAGTAATGATAATAGTAATAGTAATATATTGCCAGTAGTAGTGTAAAATGTATAGTTATGGCCTCTTTATGCTGGTAGTACTAATTCCAGTAGTAGCCGTAGTAGTACTAAGTTAGTACTTGTAGGAGGATAAAACAGGTCCCTGCCTGGGGTTGGTTACAACCTTCAAAAAAGGGGTCCTGACAGGGCCAGCCAAACACATTTTGCTGCCTGAGGCAAAAATAGCAATTTTCTTCCCAGCTACCATTGGACAAGGTGTGTGGCTGGTCAAGCCATATATTGGCAGCTAAAGCAGAAAACCCCGCAAGTGCCCCTTCTTCTGCTTTACAATATTAACTTTGTCAGGACACCCAAAATCAGCTGCCTGGGTGACTGCCTCACTCTCCCTAATGGGTGGGCCGGTTTTGGGAGTTTGGGGAATAGAAGTGTATGTGCATGCCTTGGGTTGTTGTTGTTTTTTTATGGCCCCACTCCCCAAAACAGCAGGCTTGTTGGTAGTTTCGCCTTACAGTTTCCTGGGGGGGGGGGGAGCCACCTTCACAAAAAGGGGTGGAAAAACACAACTGGGCCTCTGAGGCTTCCAGTTGATGCCACCCAAAGCGTGCCTAGAATGGTTATTTCAGGGTGCCCAGAGCAACTTGGGGGAAACTATACAAAAGGCTTCTCTCTGAATACCAGTGTGATTTATAATGGATGCAATTGGAAAAGCGGTTCTGGCATCAATTTTCATGCAAATGACAATAGGGCAGTAGGTGAAAAGCAGACCCCATTGAAATGCATGAGCTGCCCCAGCAGACTCCTCAGTTGGGGATTATGCAAATCGGGAAGAGGTGGAGTTGCACTGATTTGCATGCCAGGCACAATTCCTTCATGTTTCCTTAAGAAGGACTGAGGGTAGGTTTTATACATTGCCTGAAATTTAGAATTTTGCATACATATATTAATGCATAGAGAGGCAGTGTGGTGTAGGGGATAGAGCAGGATTTCTCAGACTTCTGCTAGCAATGGGACATTACACACACACACACACAACTGGAGGCACGTTTCATTCTGGCAACTGAAAAGCGGTATTTCTACAGCTTGAAAGAAAAAACATCAGAGCAAGGACTCATTCAGAGATACAACACCTTCCTCTGTCCTGGGAATGACAGCATGTCCCCTCACACATATTCCCTCTCCATGTGCAACCTGAACGTAGGTATGCAAAAGAATTCCATTTACACTAATTAGGAGACCCTTCCAGAAATTATTGCTCATTCAGAGATGCAACAGCCAACCTCCTTTTAAGGTGCTGTGTCTCTGCACCGGCACAGCAAAATGCTCTCTTCATCCCTGATGCTGAGAAATCAAGTTGCACGCTTAAAGAGGCCAATTAAAAAGGAAGCAAGTGCCGAGAAAGGACTCATTTAGAGACGCAACAGGTTACCCCTTTGAGAGTGGGTAATCGTGCTGTCTTTGTATATCAGGAGTGCTTGAAATGTCTGATGAATGAATATAGCAGAACTGCTCACAGCACTGAGGGTAGTTAGGAAGTGGGCAAGTCCAGAGAGGGATAGCTCAGTTGGTAGAGCATGAGACTCTTAATCTCAGGGTTATGGGTTCGAGCCCCACATTAATAATAATAATAATAATAATAACAACAACAACAACAACAACAATTTATTATTTATACCCCGCCCATCTGGCTGGGTCTCCCCAGCCACCCTGGATGGCTTCCAACAAAGTATTAAAATACAGTGGTCTGTTAAACATTAAAAGTTCCCAATACAGAGTTGCCTTCAGATGTCTTCTAAAAGTCTGGTAGTTGTTTTCCTCTTTGACATCTGCTGGGAGGGCGTTCCACAGGGCAGGTGCCACTACAGAGAAGGCCCTCTGCCTGGTTCCCTGTAACTTGGCTTCCTGCAGTGAAGGAACTGCCAGAAGGCCCTCGGCGCTGGACCTCAGTGTCTGGGCAGAACGATGGGCGTAGAGACGCTCCTTCAGGTGCATTGGGCGAAAGATTCCTGCATTGCAGTGGCTGGGATGAGATGATCCTCGTGGTGCTTCTATGATCCTGTCAGTCAGACAGAGACTTACTTTTCCAGCCTTAGCCTTGCATTCTTCCTTCAGACTACTTTCCTCTCTCCCTCTCAGGGAATGACGTTTATTTGAATTCTCCCTCCATCCCGGCGAGCGAGGTGATCGTGCGGGAGATCAAAGAAGAGGTTCCCGAACGAGAAATCTTGGACCGAGCGGAGCCCCAGTGGACTTTGTTGGGCTCTCCTCCGGGGCTCGACCCCCTGAACTCGGAGAGCCGCTGCGGGCTGCAGAGGCCGTGGGAGATGCCTCCGGGGACAGTGTGGCGGGAGCCGTCGCGGCACCTGCGGGCGGCGAGTTCGAAGCGCAGCATGTTCCACGTGGGGCGCAAGAAGCTGATGTGCCCCGAATGCGACCGGTGGTTCCACTGCAAGTCCGAGTTCCTGCTGCACTGGAGGACCCACACGGGCGAGAAGCCCTACGAATGCCTGGCGTGCGGCAAGCGCTTTATCCAGAGCTCCCACCTCAGCGCCCACCGGCGCATCCACACGGGGGAGAAGCCCTACGAGTGCCCCAAGTGCGGGCGCAGCTTCAACCGCCGCTCCACCCTCACTGAGCACCTGCGCATCCACACCGGGGAGAAGCCTTACAAGTGCCTGCAGTGCGGCGAGAGCTTCCGATGGAGGCCGTACCTCACCAAGCACCAGAGGGTTCACGTGGGCGGCGCCGTCTACAAAGGCCTGAGTGACGGGGAAGCCATGTTTGAGAGCCCGCCCCCGGAGGAGCAGCAGGGAGGCCACCCGGGTGAGCGCTGTTTTTGTCCCGCAAATATTTCAAATTAGAATATAGCGTTGTCTAGCCCCATGCGTTGACAGAACAGCGGCAGATTTGTTTCCCTTATTCGTTTTGCTGGGTCGGATTCTGCAGCTGAGATTCCTACGTTGCAGGGAGTTTGGGCTAGATCATGGGTAGGCAAACTAAGGCCCGGGGGCCGGATGTGGCTCAATCGCCTTCTCAATCCGGCCTGCGGACGGCCCGGGAATCATTGTGCTTTTACATGAGTGGTAAAGGTAAAGGCAAAGGTACCCCTGACTGTAAGGTCCAGTCGTGGACAACTTTGGGGTTGTGGCACTCATCTCGCTCTATAGGCCGAGGGAGCCGGCATTTGTCCGCAGACAGCTTCCAGGTCATGTGGCCAGCATGACTAAGCCGCTTCTGGTGAACCAGAGCAGCACACGGAAATGCTGTTTACCTTCCCGCTGGAGTGGTACCTATTTATCTACTTGCACTTTGACGTGCTTTCAAACTTCTAGGTGGGCAGGAGCTGGGACCGAACAACAGGAGCTCACCCCGTTGCGGGGATTCGAACTGCCGACCTTCTGATCGGCAAGCCCTAGGCTCTGTGGTTTAGACTACAGTGCCACCCGCATCCCACATGAGTAGAATGTGTGCTTTTACTTAAAATATATCTCTGGGTTATTTGTGGGGCATAGGAATCCGTTCATTTCCCCCCCAAAAATATAGTCCAGCCCCCGCACAAGGTCTGAGGGACAGTGGACCGGCCCCCTGCTGAAAAAGTTTTCTGACCCCTGGGCTAGATGATCCTTGGGGCCGCTTCTAACACTACGGTTCAGCGATTCTGTGAGTGCGAGTGATTAAACGGCCAGCAGCAGCAGAGTGCGCCCAGCAATGCGTCGTGTCATTTGCCAATTTGGGATCTTAAAAATTATAGGAGGGTGTGTTTTTTGTGCAGAAAGGCGATAGTGGAAGGTGGTAACTGATGGGCTACCAAGCGGCTATGGCAGTATGATAATACATTCTTCTAATTGATTGAAATTGCAATGAGAAAAAGGATTGACCCAAAATACATACTTCCTTTCCTGGAAGAAGGTGTGTGTGTGTGTGTGTGTGTGTGTGTGTGTGTGCTTGCCTAGGTAAACCTCTGACTTTGCATGTGCTGGGAGGGCACCTGTAGTACAATTCAAAGGTAAGAGTTGCAGTCAAATGCTCTGTTGTTCAGCATGCTGGAAGGTTGTTTTTTGGTTTTGGTTTTGTTTGCTCTTTCCAGTCGGGAATGTAATTCCTGAAAAAATAGGCAGTCCCAGGGACCATTTCTGCGTGCTCCCTGCCCACTCTTGAGCAGAATTGATGTATGCAAATTAAAACATTTGTGCAAATGTCATGCATTGATGGGTTCTGATAAATGTGCTGGATTAGATTCATCTTGGACTCAAGCTCTCTTTTGAATAAGCAGAAACGGTCCTGAGTTCATTCACCGAGATTGTGCTGCCCATCCAAATTGCTGAATCCTGCAGTGTTAAGAAAGGAACAATAGAGAAAGATGGTGTAGACTCCGAACTTTTTATTGCTTAGAATATTTATAAACTTTCTCTTCTCTCCAAAGGACTTTCAGACAGATTACATTCTGTGAATCAGTTCTAACAATAGGGCATCCTTCCAATGTCCTGATCATGGGTGCTATTAACTTTGTAACTCAAACAGTGTAAGAACACGATAAGAAGACCCGCAAGCTGGAGGTTCTCCACCTCTGCTCTAGATAGACCAATATGTAGGGTTTGCAGAAATTGGTTCTTCTAACCTGCCTGCATCCATGGTTTTTAAGACTATAAATGGGCAGGCTAGGGGTGGGTCTACATGGGGGGAGGGGAGAGTTGGACCCTGCTATAAATAAATCAGAAATTAAATTGTTAGAACAAAAGGGGGGGGAAATGCTATGGAAGAATCACAAAGAAATTTGTTTTGCATTTTAGTGCCATCTGGTGTTTCATATTTATAACACATTCAAATAGCTTTTTCTTTACTAATGTAGCTGAGTCCTAGGACAATGTGGGGGCGGGGAGTGTCTTTTCAGGACTTTAGCAGTAGTAGTAGTAGTACTATTACTACCACTACTACAATTTTGTTTTATTTATATGCCACCCATCTGCCTGGGTTGCCCCAGACACAATGGGCAGCTTCCAGCAAAATATAAAAACACAATGAAACATCAGACATCAAGAACTTCCCTATACGGGGCTGCCTACAGATGACTCTGAAAGTCAGAGTTGTTTATTTCCTTGACATCTGATGGGAAGCGCCACTACCGAGAAGGCCCTCTGCCTGGTTCCCTGTAATCTCACTTCTTGCAGTGAGGGAACCAGCAGAAGGCACTCGGAGCTGGACCTTAGTGTCCAGGCTGAACGATGGGGGTGAACCAATATGCTCCTTTAAGTATACAGGGGGGATACGGATGGCGCTGTGGGTTAAACCACAGAACCTAGGACTTGCCGGTCAGAAGCTCAGCGGTTCGAATCCCCGTGACAGGGTGAGCTCCCGTTGCTCGGTCCCTGCTCCTGCCAACCTAGCAGTTCGAAAGCACATCAAAGTGCAAGTAGATAAATAGGTACTGCTCCAGCGGGAAGGTAAATGGCGTTTCCGTGTGCTGCTCTGGTTCGCCAGAAGCGGCTTAGTCATGCCGGCCACATGACCTGGAAGCTGTACGCCGGCTCCCTCGGCCAATAAAGCGAGATGAGCACCGCAACCCCAGAGTCATCCGCAACTGGACTGGACTGGTCAGGGGTCCCTTTACCTTTAAGTATACAGGGCTGAGGCCGTTTAAGGCTTTAAAGTTCAACACAAACACTTTGAAAATATGGAAACATACGTGGGATTCTATTTCTCTGACTTGCCTTTTCCTCTGCCCTCCAGAAGATGATGCCGTGGGGAGTGCAAATGTGGAGGCCTTTCCCCAGCACGCTGCCTCTGAGGAGGGGGCAGAACAGCATGGAGGGGCCGGCCTTAACCCGGAAGTGGAAGGCCAGCCACCCGAGAGGCCTATAAAGACTGAAGTGGAAGGGAACGACGTCACGGACGTCAGCCAGATCAAGATCGTTCAGGTGGAGAAGAAGCATGTTTGCCACGAGTGTGGCAAGGCCTTCCAGTACAAGTTTGAGCTGGTGAAGCACCACCGGACGCACACGGGGGAGAAGCCCTTCGAATGCCTGGCGTGCGGCAAGAGGTTCTTCCAGAGCACCCACCTCAACGCCCACCTGCGCATCCACACGGGGGAGAAGCCCTACGAGTGCCCCAAGTGCGGGCGCAGCTTCAACCGCCGCTCCACCCTCACGGAGCACCTGCGCATCCACACCGGGGAGAAGCCTTACAAGTGCCTGCAGTGCGGCGAGAGCTTCCGATGGAGGCCGTACCTCACCAAGCACCAGAGGGTCCACTCGGGGGACAACGCCTACAAGTATTTTGATGGCGGGGAGAGCCTCTACGACAGCTCGGCCTTCTCTGAGCACCAGGAGGAGATCCACCCAGGTGCGGAAGCCGGTGCCGTGAAGAGGAGAGGCCTCTGCTGGATCAGGCCAAAGTCCCGTCCTGGCTCCGTACTCTCTCCTCGCCAATTTAGTTCATCTTCTTTTATTTAAATGTTCGGGAGTCTGCCTCTTCATCAGATGTGTAACATAGCAGCAGGCAACGTTATATGGCAATAATAATGTCAACCAGAGGATTGATAGCTCATGTGGTAGAGCATGAGACTCTTAATCTCAGGGTCAAGCCCCACATTGGACAAAAGGTTCCTGTATTGAAGTGGAGGGGGGACTAGATCAGTGTTTCTCAACCGGAGGCCATATGACCCCCCTGGGGGCCCCCAGGATGTTCCAAGGGGGCCACAGGTGAAAAATGCATAAATGGGGGGAGGACACAGCTAGAGGCTAGGGGGCCATAGAGGGAAGTGAGAAGTGAAGGGGGGGGTATATAAATATACAGTGGTAACTCAGGTTACAGACATTTCAGGTTACAGACACTTCAGGTTACAGACTCCGCTAACCCAGAAATAGTACCTTGGATTAAGAACTTTGCTTCAGGATGAGAACAAAAATCATGCGGTGGCGCAACAGCAGCAGCGGGAGGCCCCATTAGCTAAAGTGGTACCTCAGGTTCAGAACAGTTTCAGGTTAAGCACAGACCTCCAGAATGAATTAAGTTCATAACCCGAGGTACCACTCTTCTCTCTCTCTCTCTCTCTCTCTCTCTCTCTATATATATATATATTATATATCCTGATTGGCTGGCTATCCACTTGGCCAATCCCAAGCGGATAAGGGGGTGCCCACCAGGGCCTGGTGCTCCTTTTTGCCATGTGTGTTTTCTTGGAGTTGTCCTGGTTTTTTTCCCAGCGGGAGAGGGCAATCGCTGAGGCTCCCGTTTTGGCCAGTGGAGCTCGTGATCCAGAACCCCCTGGTCAGGTAAGTGCAGTGGTGGGGTGGCAATGGGTAGGGCTGGGCGAGCCGGAACTGCTTGTTGTTGCTGCTGCTGCTGCTGCTGGGCCTGGTGGCACCCTGGGCCTGACTCTGCAATCCGAGGTGGCAGCCTGGGCCTGACACTTCAGGGTGCAATCCAGCGCCTAGTGGATCAGGGCCTTTGGATGTTGCCAAGGGGCGCAGGGCCTGTCAGCAGCGTTGGCCTGTCTCTGCAAGGTGCAGGGTGAAATCCACCCCAGCCAAGTGGAATCGTCTGATGCTGCTGACTTGCATCTAGGAAATAACTGTCTACTCAGAAGAAAGCCGCACTGCGTTTAGAGGGCCTTGCTACTAGGTAAGGGTGGGGGGGGGATATAGTGTTTTACCTAGACAGCCAAGGTTCCTCCAGAGGAAAACAGCTTTTTGCACAAGGTCAGTTAGGACCACTTGTTTTTTAAAATTCCCCCATATATACAGAACTCCTTGTGTGCCTTTTGTAAGTTTCCCCTCTGTGCCAAATAATGGGAGTCAAATAAGTGATGTTTACAGTACGTGGAAGATGGATCTCCCTCAGGAGGTTCTGGACCCTTTCTCCTTGCAAGTTTCTAAGCAGAAGTCAGATGGCCATCTGTCATGGATGCTTTAACTGAGATTCCTACATTGCAGGGAGTTGCACTAGAAAGATGACTCTTGGGGTCCCTTCCAGCTCTATGATTATATTTTTTTCTGCTTCAGCAATATTTCATTATGTTCCCATCATTTTATGTAATTGTATTTTGTATAAATTAAAAAATATACAAATAAAACATGTTCTGTTTACAAACAAACATTTAAATAGCTACCTTTTTACTAGTAGGAGAGGGGCCATGGGCATAGCCAGGATTTTTTTTAGGGGGAGGCAGAATCTCATATATGTATTGATTTCTACTTATTGCGGGGGGGGGGGGGGCAGCTGCCCCACAACCCCCGGCTGTGCCCAAGGGGGACCACAGGAAGGAACCAAGACAAGAGGGGGGCCATGTTCAGAAAAAGGTTGAGAAACACTGACTTAGGTGACCCTCGTGGTCCTTTCCAGCTCTACGGTTCTGTGATTCTATGCTCAGCTTTTGGGTAAAAAAGGGAAATTGTCAATATTTATTTACGTATTTATTAACTGACAAAAGAAAATCTTTGATAAAAACTAAGTAAAGCCTATCTTTAAGTGTGTGTGTGCGTGTGTGTGTGTGTGTGTATTATAAACTTCTGGTGTCTAGGGGAAGCCCTCATGGTTTCAGCTGTAGTGAAAAATGCTGGATCAAACCACAGTTCTCACAGTGATGAATCGGATACTTATGGGAAGCCTGAGAGCGATTCCTAGGAACTGCCTTCAACATGGGGTACAGAACATCCCCGTTGATAGCCTCCTTCTCCATGAATTTGCCCAGTCCTCTTTTAAAGCTGGTAGCTATCACTACCTCTTGTGGGAGCGAATTCATACGTTTAATAATAATAATAATAATAATAATAATAATAATAATAATATGGTGATGGTGATGATGATGATGATGCCACCCATCTGACTGAGATTTAACTACGTGCTGCTGTGTGGAAGAAGTACTTTAGTTTGTCTTTCCCAAATCAAACACTTCTCTCTCTCTGTGCTTCCAGAGGGTTCCTCATTCCCTGTTTCCAGTCTCATTCCAACTGAGCTACAACTGAAGTTTCACGAGCCTAATTCCTTCCTGTTCTCATGTAACTGCTCTCTCATTTTTTCTCCTCCCAACTAGAATATTTGGTTTCTGCGCCCGACTCCATCTCCCGCATGGCACCTCGGGGAGAGCCGTGGGTGCAAGGCCCCCAGCGCTCTGAGGGGAGGCAGAGTCACAGAAACGGCTCCGAAGGCGATGGGGTGGCGGAGCCATTGCGAGGGCAGTCCGAGGGGGAGGGCGAAGGCGTGGACTCTCCGAGGAGCCTCGCTGCCCCTCACGACAGGGCAGGAGCCAGCGACTCGTGTAGGTTTGCTCTCTGCTCCCTCAGATTTGCCTAGTTCCCTTTGCCTACTGTCTTTTCTGATACCCTTCTAAGTGTATTGTGTTTTAGGGGGGATTATCAGTTTGTTTTGTTCTTATTTTTATTATGTATTTTGTGAAGGTTTTTACATTGTATTTTATGTTGTGAACTGCCCTGAGATCTACGGATGAAAGGCAGTGTAAGAAAGAAAGAAAGAAAGAAAGAAAGAAAGAAAGAAAGAAAGAAAGAAAGAAAGAAAGAAAGAAAGTCATACCTTGGGTTACAGATCCTTCAGGTTGTGTTTATTTTGGGTTACAGACCCGCCAAAACCTGGAAGTACCGGAACGGGTTACTTCCGGGTTTTGGCGGTCGCACATTCGCAGAACTGCTAATGCGTGCTTTGCGCATGCGCATAAGCGCTGAATCGCAACTCGTTCGTGCGCAGACACGCCGCTGCGGGTTGTGAATGCTGTTGGTTGCGAATGTGAATCCTGCATGGATCACGTTCGCAACCCGAGCATCCACTGTATTATTATTATTATTATTATTATTTATCGTGCCACTTCAAATGCAAAGTAGTAGTAGTAGTAGTAGTAGTAGTAGTAATAGTAATAGTAATAGTAGTAGTAGTTGTTGTTACTCTAGGCCCCATTCCCACCCTGTATTTGAAGTGCCATGATACCACTTTAAACAGTCATGGCTTCCCTCAGAGAATTCTGGGAGCTGTAGTTGGTTATGGATACTGGGCCCAACAGTTCCCAGATTTCCCTGTGAAGAAGAAGAAGAAGAGTTTGGATTTGATATCCCGCTTTATCACTACCCGAAGGAGTCTCAAAGCGGCTAACATTCTCCTTTCCCTTCCTCCCCCACAACAAACACTCTGTGAGGTGAGTGGGGCTGAGAGACTTCAGAGAAGTGTGACTGGCCCAAGGTCACCCAGCAACTGGGTGGAGCGGATGGAGAGGAGCGGAGACGCGAACCCGGTTCCCCAGATTACGAGTCCACCGCTCTTAACCACTACACCACACTGGCTCTCTGTGAAGAGAGGTGGATTGTTGGGGGTTTTTTTGAAATCGTTTTTATTTGATTTTACAAGTGTAAAGTTATAACAATACCAAACACATATCCGTTTAAAGAGATTTATCTGAATTGCAAGACTTCCCACCCCACCCCCCCGGTTCCTATAATCAACATTTTCAACTGCATATAATCCATATTTTGTATCTGTCCGTATTATCCATAGTGTTTCTTACGTTACAAGTGTTGTTAGAATCCTGCTAAAGTTTTCATCTGCTTACAGTGGTCTAAGAGAGATGGATTGTTAAATCCCTCTGGGAATTGTAGCCCTGTGAGGGGTGAATGGTGGGGTGGGTGTGTCTCCTAACAACTCTCAGCATAATTCTTTGGGGGAAGCCATGACGGTTTAACTTGGTCTCATGGCGCTTTACAGGTGTGGTGTGAAAGTCACCTTAGACTGGAGCCTGGGGTTTAACATGAGTGAGAGCTCTCTCACATGATACCCAGCTGCCTTCCAATAAAACAAGGGTGGGACACCTGATCCATCCTGAGGGCTGCATTCCCTTCCGGGCAGCCTCCTGAGGGCCGCATGCTAAAAGTAGGCCAGGCCAGAGGCAAAAGTGGGTAGATTTTTCCTCTGTACATTAGGCTAGCACAGTACAATTTTACCTTTGCACACCCCTCAGGCAAGCAAAGAGGCATTATGAGGGTTCAGGGATACAATCCAGACAGGCAAAAATACTCGGGGGGGGGGAGTGAGGGGTGTAGCCTGGAGAGAGGGGTGTGGCATGGGCCACATAGTGAGGTTTAGTGGGCCAGAGTTGGCCCCACCCCTGAGGTCCCCCCTTCCCCTGCTATAAAATTACAGCAGGAGAGAGGAACCTCCAGCCCATGGGTTTAATTCGGCCCTACAGGCAGTGCTATTTTTCGGAGGGGGGGTGGAAAGCCGATAACTCGCCCTCCTTCTCTCAGAATGGGCAAGTTCCGGCTGAAAAGAAGCCCTGCCCTCAGGACTTTCCATTTGACCCACCAGGCCGCTTTGGCCAAGCGACACCCAACCTGCCCTATACCTGGCATGTAAAAATGTGGCTGGGCAGAAAGGGGGGTGTGCAGGCAACCCTAGTCAGCCTCCCTGCTCTTCACAACAACCCTGCAAGGTAGGTTGGTATCTTTCCAAAGGTCGCACAGTGAACTCCGTGGCTGAATGGGGACCCAGGTCCTGGTCCAGCACTCTGACCACTGTACCTCTTGTCTGTGGGGATTGGTCTGTTCGAGACTTCTCTGCCGAATGCTACTGTTACTACTAATATTAATAACTGTCGTTATTTTTGCAAGGCGATAGCATGACAACTGAACACCCAGAGGAGGAGACCCAGCAAAGAGGCCTTGAGCTAGAAGTCAACGATGTGTCGCCAGACAGATCCGAAGGAAACGTTTCCCTGAAGTCTCGAGCCGTCTCTGATAGTAGTGGCCATGGGTCTTTGGAACAGCTAACAGCAGAGTGGGATGAATCTGGTCAGTATGGAAAAGGCCTCCTGAGCAATTTGGCCTTGTCAAGTTTCTAGCCCTTAAGCTTACAAAAAAGAGAGAGAGGTTTGTAGGTCCACCGTGTTGTAGCTCCTTTGGGCATGCTGGCTGGGGAGGGATTTGGGGTACGTTTGGCCTCAAGAAGAGAAGACCGAGAGGTGAGGTGATCGCCATCTTCAGATGTATGACTCGGCTGTCACATTGGAGACAGAGCAAGCTTTTCCCCCTGCTACTCTAGACTGGTGGAACCTAAACCAATGGATTAAAATTCCAAGAAAGAAAATTCTGACTAAACATTAGGAAGAACTTTCTGATGGCCATGTTATCAAGGATCCTTTAGGGGGTTGGGCTAGATGATCCTTGGAATCCCTTCCAGCTAAATGATTCTTTGATTCTAAGCAGGAATATCTCCCAACCCTCTCTGAAGGTGCTGGAGATTGATCTTGGATGCTCTATCACATTCTAGCTGGCACTGGTGGGAGATGAATTCTAATAGCATCTGTAGGGCCACAGGCTCCTCTTATCCCTTCTGTAGATCAACAGTCCAAAAGCAGATTGCAGGTTTCCAGGTTCCACAGAACACCCATTGAGGCAGCACTGAAAGAAACTTCTCTCTTTGATAGTACAAGTCCAGGGAAAGATAACCTGCCCTTTCTTATCCCGTCATAGTTCTGTTTTCTTTCTTTCTTTCTTTGTTTTCTCCACAGATAGTTTAAAATAAAATCCTTCCAACCCCCGGCCTCATCCTTGAATGATGAAACTGTCGGAATGCGGAAAGAGCCTGCATTTGTCGACTGGTGGGATCTTCAAGTAAACTGTTCTGCCAGCAGCAAAAAGAGACACCCGGAGTTTAGTGCATCTTGCAAACAATTTCTTTTGGAAAGACTTGAAGACACAGCAGCGTTCTTAACTCCGCCCCCCCCCCCGCTCCCTCCTCCAGTGTTAACCAGACACTTGCATAGCCAACATGTACGGATTGCGGGGAAGGGTGGGGTTCTTTAACTGAAATATTAACATTTGTCTTTTATTTTATTTTGTATGGGTTAATTCATGCGCATGTTTTATGTTGTCACCCAGGAATACGCTAATGTTATGATCTGCGATCTAGGGAAGGTCGTCATTATGTTCCCACAAGAGAGGTCAGTGATTTAGATTTCACAAGTGTGAACATTTTTAAGGCTGAGATTATATGCATTTCACAATTGCACTTGCACAAGGACACAAGTTGGTGCCAGGGCACCGAGTTCCGGCATTCCTGAGAAACGGGGGCTTTTCAGGTTTCTAGCCCTTAAGCCTGTAAGGATGGAGTTTTTGAATCTGAAAATCTAGAGCACTGAATAGAGTTGCGAGCGGTTAGGAGGCAGGGTTTCGGTGTCCTGTAAAACTAATGGCGTAAGCAGAAACAATTATGCAAAAGAGGCAAATATGTATATATAAATATGCAAATGACTTTTCATTTGCATGCCGTGTCCAGGTCAAAGAATTTAGCTACTTTTGCTGCAGAACATTGATTTAATTAAGGGCAAAAAATATACATCCTGACTATGGGAAGCCAGTCAAGGTCATAAAGTCTTGTTCCAAGTCTGTGACAGATTTGTCACATCATCTTTTCCCCCTCCTTTTTTGCAGACACAGTCTCACAGTCACATTTCACAGTAAACTCATGTGTCATGTGACTTTTCTCTTTTTGAGTGTGGAATTGTCAACATTTCTTTTGTGTGGATGTGCTCCCCCATGTGTCCGGAACTGAGAATCCCTACTCGCTGGAGGACCATTGGTTTTCAATAATTTCTCTGCAGAGTGGACATTCTCTGATGCCACCTCACGGCACATACTAGAAGAAATGTTTGCCAACAAGAATTGATCACTTTGTGGTGAATTTACCCTCTCAAAAGTGAATGAGCAGGCGTGAGTATCGGGCCCAGGGTACTTTGCAGCAGCAGACAAAGTGTAATTATTATTATTTTTAATTGGGGGGAAAACCCTAACAATGAATAATAAACTCAGCGACAGTTATGAGGGGCTAACATTTTATTGATTTTTGTTTTTTATTGTTAGCTGTGTGTATGCTTTAGAACTGGTTTATAAATAAGTCAGGACTATATTCAACTACGGTAAGTCCTGCCCAGAGAAGACCCACTGAAATTAATTCATCTAAGTCATGTCTGTTGACTTCAGTGGGTCCTACTCAGATTAGCATTGAGGCCACCCTTAATGTGTGGCTTCCTGCATTTCTAAGCTGGCCCACAAAAAATGCTGCCTTTTCAGAGTCTGTGGTCTGGATCCTGCATTAACTTGGAATTGATGAGAGACTTTTTGCAGCAGGATTGTCAGTTGGTACAGTTCTGCAGTTCTGGATCCCAGCCTTTGCACTGTAAAGAGTTACATATATTCTTTTATTATTGTTGCTATTAATTCCTTTTTAACGATGCCCTCTTCGTTTTGGAAGACTGACTTCGCCCTGCCTGCCCAGATCTGACAGTTTTTGGTGTTCAAAACAGCACAGGGAGGTGACCAGTTGCTTAATTTTAATTTTAAACTGTAGGGCAATTTTCCATACAGAGTGCTCCATTTTTTTATTATTTAAAAAACAGTAATAGAATAGAAGGGTAAAATGCAGGATAGAATCATGAGAGGCATGGCATTAGAAGCAGCTTGAGAGATACCTCTTTGATTCTCAGGGAGCTGCTCCATAGCAATTCATCTCTCTTCCCAGGGAACTGTGTCTGTATGAGGAGTCTCCTTAACAACTCTCAGCACCCTTAAGAAACTACAGTTCCCAGTATTCTTTGTGGGGTGGAAACCACGACTGCATAAAGTAGTGTGGTGCTGTCTTAAATTTATAAATGGAGCATTATTTAATTGGCAGCCATGCAGACCACCAGCCATGGGGTTCAATACCCTCCTTGTTTGATTTCAGAAGCAGGCCACAGTAGTAGTAGTAATTTTTATTATTATTTATACCCCACCCATCTGACTGGGTTGCCTTGGCCACTCTGGGCAGCTTCCAACAGAATATAAAAGCACAAGTGATGTCATTGGTCTGGTTAGCTCAGTATTGTCTATTCTGATTGGCTGCAGCTCTCCAATGTTTCTAATTGGGGGGGATTTCTTCAAAATTGCATTCTAATATTATTTTTAACTTTTCGACATACCAGGGAGTGAAACTGGGACCTTCTGCATGCAAAGGAAGCTCTCTACCACTGAGGGTACTAGCAGTTGCGTGCAGCCTTGATGCACAAGTGTGAAACTGTTTTGTTTCCAGCGGGGACCTAAATGCACTAATCTTTTTTCTTCTTCTCTGGATCGTATACACAAAGCTGCTGCTTTTCACTTTTCAAGCTTAAAAAGATTCCTCAGTACATCAAGAGGATTTTATTTTAAAAATTGGGAAAGGGGTTGGCATGTACGGGAAAAACTGTACCGGAACAACTCATCATTTGAAAAACACAGCTGACCTTCAAAATGTAGCAATAAGGCGTGCAGCCTAGGAACACTGGGCCCAATTTATACAGGCATCGTCTCACTTTAGTCCCATCGAGATCACCTTTTCTTCAAGTTAGATATGAATAACTTCAGCCCCGTTGATTTCAATAGAAGTTAACTATACACATCTACTCAGAAGTATGGCCCATAGTTTTCAAAGTGTGTTTAACCACAGCACTCACCTGTGTTTTCAAGCTGACAGGAGCGGCATTCATTTGACAATGTGATAATCAGATTTTCTTTTTCTTTGCATAACTCCGTTTTACTTCTGCTTTAATAATAATAAAAATGTTTCTACTTCCCTTTCCCCTGTTACTTACTTTTAAGGAATAACATGCATAAAAATTGAGAACGGTGTCTTTGACTTCTCCTTTCTTAAATATGAGGAGGATGAGGTGGAAGAATGGGCTGTACTATTTTGAGCCAGATATGCAGGTACCCTTGCAAGCAATTCGTGTGAAAATGCTCCCGCCTGTCAAGTGTTTTTAGCCAGTGAGTGAAGAGTGATTGAGTGATTTAGACAGCAGGTGGCAGGAATCCCTGGGGGTCCTCAGCGACTCCTGATTTCACACACACACACACACACACACACACACACACACACGCCCTTCAATGCACTTTTCCTGCTTTTATATTTCCTAGGCGGAAATTAAGCAGGTCCTTTTCTCACATTGAAAGGCAATTATGATGAGAAAAGGGGATGTGTTTGTGTGTGAGAGAGTGAGTGAGAAGGGAAAGGCCAGAAAGGGCTGGCAGAGAGAGGGGGCCTTCTGGTTCTGGCAGCACCCAGCATTAACTTGTATGCCCCAAATGATCACCCATGGAAGAATGCATCCCTCACACCCAGAGAAAGGTTTCCCATCTCTGACCCAATTACCGTATTTTTCGCCCCACAGGGCGCACCTAGTTTTTTGGGGGGGAAATAAATTTCCCAGCCCCCAGAACAGGCAGCGCCGGGCTCCCACGACTTGCAGAGAGCTGTGCGAAGCCTGGAGAGCGTTGAAGCGCCATGAGACCCCTCTCGCTCTCCAGGCTTCAGCGAAAGCCTGCATTCGCCCCATAGGACGCACACACATTTCCCCTTCATTTTTGGAGGGGGGAAAAGTGTGTCCTATAGGGCGAAAAATACGGTAATTGCCTAGTGAGGGAGTTCCTGGGGATGAGGTTCTGTTTTGAATTGATGCAATTTTGAAAGTGCCACCGTCAAGGGTTTTTTGGTTTTTTTGTGGGGAGAGAAGAGGGCTGAACAAGATAAAGCAAGACCACACAGAAAAATTACAAACTTTATTGAATAGTTTCAAAACTTGTGACGTGGAGGGGAGGTGGAATTCATCTGAGAACCCCCATTTGGAAAGCCTGCTAAAATGACCCTGGGCATCTTTGGAGGCTGACAATGCTGCGTTAATGACGCTTTTGTTTTTCAAAGAGGGGAGTGGATGGGGGGGGGAGAAGTCAAATAGCCCAGAAGTAACTCTGTTGCTTTGGATAAATCCTAATATAGATACAGAGCCCCTTTGGAAATTGCTTTCTCCTGAATCGGGGGTGGGGGAGCTGTGGTACTCCAGACCTTATTGGACTATGATCTCTGCCCATTGGCCATGCTGGCTGGGGCTTATGGGAACTGGAGCCGGGGAACAGGAAGAGGGCCAAAGATTCCCCACCCCTGCTCTGAACGAGCAAAACAAATTGCCCACTCAGGACGCTGGTCCTCAAACTGGCTTCCACACTGAGAAGACAGCTAAGGAGACCCTGAGTGCCTGGCAGGGAACCACTGCAGGGGATTATGGGAAATGCTCTAGGCATTAGCAGTTGGCAGATTTGCACACAACAAGGCATGGCCTATCCCGCTGGGCCTCACCAGCTGCTCTTTTTGAGGGGAAAGGCTGGGTTCTTGCTGAGGAGGGAAAGCCTGTGTCTGGGCTACACATCTTCAGCAGGATCAGGGAACCTGTGGACCTTCTCCAGATGTCATCAGCCCCAGCCAGCCCCAACCCATCAGTGGGAATTGGGCCCATGGCAACTTCAGGCCACAATTTCCTCTGTCTCCACCATACATTTTCAGTAATAGTTAGCTGGCAATCAATACTTTTTAAATTTCTTTGGGGGGGGGGGTTGTTTATTGCATAAAGATAATTATTGTAGGTTGTTTTTTTTACGGAACTACAGTATACAAATATTGTTATAAATAAATCTTCCCTAGCCTGGAGATCTGGGCATCATCAGGAGGGCATCAGGTTGAAGGAGGATGGTAAACATGAAAAATTAGCATCTTTATTGGGGGGCGGGGATTTAGGCTGGAGGCCTTTCCTTCTCACCAGCTACTTTTCTACATGCAGGGACGTGTGTGTATGTGTGCGCGCACGTGTGCGTGCATGGAGGAGCATATTGTTACACGAGCAGTCTGAAGTGGCACAGCTCTTGAAGTCTTTAAGGGGAGCAAAGACCAGCTGCAACCCCTCTGCTCCAAATGATAGACTCCTTCTGGGTTCAGCATGGCTGGGAATGATCTGGCTGATAACTGGTCTCTCATCCAACCTCATTTGGCGTTACCTCCTGCTAAGTTTCAAAGGTAGACAGAGAGTGTCATTAGGATGCGTAACAGGGTGCTTCTGGACTCCAACTCCCATCAGCCCCAGGCAGCGTGCCAATTGCTCAGGGATGATGGGAGTTGGAGTCCAACATCATCAGGAGGTCCAGACTTGATGTATAATTTTTGTTTTCACCCAACAGCACATGGGTGTTCTGACATGGAGAGAACTCATGCCTGTGGACTGTTTTCAATGTCTGATTTCCCCCTCTCTGCATTTTGAAGTTGAAAAGATTTGTGGCTTTTAGCGTAAATGGAAAACAGCTTTGGAGATGGGGATCCCACTGCCCTCCAGGTGTTGCTGGACTCCAGTTCCCATCAGCCCCAGGCAGCACAACCTATGCTCAAAGATGATGGGAGCTGGAGTCCGGCAACATCCAGAGGCCTTCAGGTTTCCTACTCCTGCTCTTAATCTTTTGCCAAACCCAACCCCGGCGATCCCACCCTCAAAGCTTGCCCCAACTCTCCACCGCACCATTCCTTTATTCCTTCCCACTTAAAAAGCTCAGAATACATTTACAAATAAATACACGTTTTGCAAGCTGGACAGGTTAACAGAGTTCATTTAAAAACAGTACTTATTTTAAAAAATCCATCAAAACTGAACGGCGTGGTCCAGGAGGGCTCCAAAATGCCAAGTCTCGAGTGCCAGTCTTGGGGAGGGGGGAAACCTCCGGGGTTCTTAAAAGACAGATTGTCTCAAAAAAGACGTTGCTGCTTCTGGTGAAGGAAAGGCTGGTTTTGACATCTTCGGTACATTTCGGTGAGGAAGCCAGCCTGGCTTAGGAAAAACCGAGCTGCGCTTGAATCTAGAATTGCAAAAAAAAAAAAAGGAGGGGAAACTGGCCTGGGTGCTGTTGTTGATTGGCATCCGTCCGTCTCGGAAGACAGTGGAGGAGCCCTAATCTAGCCACATCTGGGGGGAGGTCCAAAAGTTCCCCCAGCCCTGAGCTAATGGCTGCAGCTCAAAGCAGGAGGATCAGTTAAAAGTGAGGTGGAGAGGTCAATGTGGTGCAAAAGCACCAGCAGAAGCACCCAATGGGCTCCACTGGTACATTTGCAGCACATCCACTTCTTTGCCTTCTTTCTCTCCACCTTCTCCCAGTAAGCAGCAGCAACCCACCTTGCAGGGAAGCTGGTGTAGCGGCTCCACCCAGCGTGTCGCTTTTCACGACGACAATTAAAGTATTAGAGCTTGGAACAACAAAAAATACCTCACTACTTATGCTGAGCCTCAGTTTTTCCCATCTGTAAAATGGGTATAATGCTGACTTTCCTCATGGGATAGCACCGATGACAAGCCCAATAGAGATTGTACAATGTTCTTCTCTGCTGCACCGCTCTCTTTGTAAAATCTTTTGTTGGCTTCTGGTTTAAAATACTCTCTTTTTGAATTATGGGTACATCATTTCATAATAAATACTGTTGTAACTTTGTGGCTTGATTAGCCACTACGGACAGCTATTATAGGGGTATTAAAAAACATTTAAATATCATATAATAAATAAAACACTGCTAAGAAATTGCCGTATTGACTGGGCCACTCTGAAGGGTTTGGCACAAGACACTGCTTCACTGGAACAGCTCTTGCCCTTGGCCCTCCTTTAAATTATTATTTTAATATTTAATAGCATTTCTCCACCTCTTACAATTTTTAAAAAATCTCTAAGCAATAGAGATTGATTTGCTAAGTACAACCAAGTCAACATTGCATGTGTTTATGGGGCTCTTGCATTTGCAAAGCACCCCTCCGCAACCACTTTTGCGAGGTAGGCTGGTTATTCCCATTTTACAGAAAGGCAGATTTGACTTGCCTCAGTGGGTCCACTGGTCCACTCACCCAGGTCTCCTGGATCAAAACTCACCTCTTTTATCTGTTGGAACGGCACACGCTCTGAACCCTACAGCTCTCACTGGCTACCAGTATGCAACCTGACCATGCAGCTTTTTGCCCCCTTTGGTTTTTTTTTGCATAGATAGACGGGCTGTCCTGTTAAAACCAGGGTAAGTGGGAGGTGGATGGGAAAAGAGCAGGGTTCTGGCAGCCCTGCCCATTAAGAAAATCCCATCGAAATCCAAATGAAAACTACAAGAGGGGAAGGGTGCCCCTTGTCATTCCCACATCTTCCTTTTCGTCCCTCTGCTCGGCCGCGTGTCTAGCGTACGCGACGCGGTGTCAGAAGTGGATGGCGTGGGTGAGTCTGGAGCGGCATCCTCTCGTGGTCCGTCTGTAGGAGGGGGTTCTGGGATGGGGTTGCAAATGCCGCCTGGGGTGGCCAGAGGAGGCACCGGGCACGGAATGGCTGGGCCTGCCACGGGCTCTGAAGGCATGCCGGGCACGTGACCGGGCGGTAGAGGGGTCCCAGCTTCCGGCGGGCCCCAAGGTGGGTTGCTGTTCCCCTGGTACGAGCTGTAGCCAAGGGACGCTCCTTGCGACGGAGACCTCTGGCCGGCGAAGACTGCCGCGATGGCCGCCATGGTGGCCGTTTGCCTCCCCAGGAACTCGCCCAGGTCGTTGTGGGAGCGCTCAATGGCGTTGACCATCAGCTGGGCCGTGGCCCTGTCCTGGCGCCTCTCCTGCTTCCTGTGCTGCCTCTCCTCTTGCCTGGCCCTGTCAAAGGCCTTCAGGTCCTGGCGGTGCAAGCCGCGCATGGCGTCCAAAAGCATGGAAGGGGCCCTTGAAGCCGACTCCACCAGCTGCATGCTGGTCTCAAGGCGCTGCTTCCGGTTCCGCATCCGCCGGTTCCGCATCCGCTCTGCGTTTGTGAGGGGCCTCCGGAATTCTTGAATGGGGCCTGCATAGGTTGGGACACACACAAAAACATAAAGTAGATTCCCTGTTTGGGACACGTGTTTAATAATAATACAGTGGTACCTCTAGTTGCGAAATGGATCCGTTCCGGAGCCCCGTTCACAACATGAGCAGAACGCAACCCGCATCTGCGTGTGTCGCGATTCGCCGCATCTGCGCATGCGCGTCATGTCATTTTGAGAGTATGCATGAGTGGCGAAACCCGGAAGTAACCCTTTCTGGTACTTCCAGGTCGCCACGGGACGCAAACTGAAAAGATGTAACCTGAACCGAACGTAACAAGCGGTATGACAATAATAATAATAATAATAATAATAATAATAATAGAACATTAAAAACATGATAAAAGATCAAACATTAAAAAGTTCCACAGGGCGGGCGTCACTACTGAGAAGGCATGTCCAAAGTCTGCTTTGGGGGCTTAATCTGGCCCACTGGTCAGTTTAATCTGGCCCCTGTGGCAGTTTATTTCCTGGAGTAAAATCCTAAAAAAAGCTCAACAATTTGTCAACAACTTTGGTTGGCCCTCACGTGTGTTCACTTTATCAAATCTGGCCCTCTTTGAAAAAAGTTTGGACACCCCTGTGTAGCTTCACTTCTTGCAGTGAGGGAACCGGCAGAAGGCCCTCGGAGCTGGACCTCCGTGTCCGGGCTGAGCAATGAGGGTGGAGACGCTCCTTCAGATGTACAACACCTAAGCCACTACGCCTCTGGCTCCCCGCCCCACGAAGGCACCGTTCTCTTAACAACAATGCAAAATAGGCCCAAACAGTTGAGACAAAGAAGTGTAGGCCTCAGAAGCACCATACCTGCCTTTCTTTGCAGGAATCTCTGGATTGGTTCCTAATCTGGCCTTCTAACTGGGAGCTGCAATATAAAAGCTCTCTGTATCCCAGGTCCTCATCCATTCAGAGATTTTGACGGCAAATTCAGGAGGAGTTCCTCAGCCAGAGCCTGCTTCTCTTGGCTTCACCTCCTGTCCTCCTTTGGTTCCCTTTTCCCTTGTAGTGTGCGACACTTCTCTGGAGACTGACTGCCGGCTGTTAACTTGAGCAACATGGAATTTTTGTTTTGCTCACCTGAACTGACACAAAAGCAGGATTCCACCAGTCCCCCCCTCCCAGCCCCAAAACTCGAGGCCACATAGTTTTATCACTGTTGTTGTTTTAGTCCCTTCACTCTAAGGTCCCAGGGCAAATAAGAGACAATATCAAAACAGTTTAAAACAACTGAAAGAAATAAGGTGGGTCCAAAAAATAGACATATCAAGCTTCAAAAGCTTGAATTGGAATTACAGCAAATAGCATATAGACCAGGCATAGGCAGCCTTCGACCCTCCAGATGTTTTGGACTACAACTCCCATCATCCCTGACCACTGGTCCTGTTAGCTAGGGATCATGGGAGTTGTAGGCCAAAACATATGGCAGGCCGAAGGTTGCCTATGCTCTATATAGACAGTTGCATAGTTATGCCAAGTGAGAGAGGAGCTCCAGGTTTATACTGCTCATGACCAAAGTTTGCAGTGTCTGGGACCTTTTAGTTTAGAGAAAAGACAAGAGGTGACAGGACACAAGTTTGTTGACAAAGTTGATAAGAGAAAAGCTTTTCTCCCTCTCTCATATCACGAATATCCAATGAAACTGAATGTTGGGGGATTCAAGTACTTCATGTAGGGCAAAGTAGAACTAGGGAACTTGGTCCTCCAGGAGGCAGTGAAGACCCCCAACTTAAATGTCTTTAAAAGAGGATTATACATGTGGCGTTTGCCCTCCTAGGTGTGTGACATCATACTGGGTTCATAAGGAAAGGGTTAACTAATTGTAAAATGACTAACCAATGGGAACCCAAGGGGAGGAGTTGGAGTTCGAGTTAGGGTGGTTGAGAAGACAGTCTGGAGTTAGAAGAGACAGAGAGGATAAGTCTCCGGGTTGGGCTAGTCTGATGTGTGTGAGAGAGAATTTGTTAAGAGGAGTCAGTCAAACAGTTGAGTCAGATGGTATTAGGAAGGTATAGGCCGGTAAAGAAACTAAAGTTAAGATACTGACAGGAATTTTATCTGAGAAACCATAAACTTGTTAATGTTTATAAAATAAACTTGTTTATTTGGTTCGATTTTAACAACTGTCTGGACTCAGTGTTTTACCCGAGAGTAACGGGTTGGTGGCAGCGGGGAAGCGAGCACAGTAGCGGCACAGGGATCAATAGACCTTCAAACGTCCGGGGACCCTGTGTGAACACCACAATACCCAATCAAGGAGGGCAAGTCTACTAGCCCTCACAATCGGAAGCAGCATGCTTCTGAATGCTGGAAACCCCAGGAAGCAGAGTGCTGTTGTGTTCAGGTCCCACCTGGAAGGGTTCCTGCAGGCATCTGGTTGGCCACTGTGAGAAGAGAAGGCTGGACTTGATCCAGCAGAGATCTTCTTATGCTCAAAACAGATCCAACAATCTGTAGACTCCCCCCTTCTCCAGAGACAGAGGTCTGATTCATGCCATAGACCTTGAAGGACCAGAGACGCCTTAGACTGGGCTCCCACAAAGTGTTCAAAATTAACTCCGGTGTAGCTGCCTCAAAGAATCCTTACCATACGGCCTGAGACTCCTGCCTCCCTCAGGCACAGGTTCCCGGCAGATCAGCGTTCTCCCGGCATTGGGCGGTGCTCTCTCTGGCACAACAGGATTCGGAGCCTGTGGTCCGATGGCAGGAAACGCCACCGGCTGGGCCAGGGGCGGGTACTGCATTGGCAGCGCCACTGTAGGGTAGTGTACCTGTTGCGCCACAGAGGGGTATTGCTGCGGCATGGGGGTGTTCACCACCACCTCATCAAACGTCCACAGAGCCTGGAAAGAGCAAAGAGGAAAGATCAGGCCAGGGAGGGACTGGCGATGCTGCTTGGAAGAAACTCTGTGCCGCAAAACGACTCTCCATTCAAACCAGACCAGACCAACATTACCTACGTGTTTATAGTTTTAATTCTACCAATGTCAAATTGTATTTTAGTGATGGGTTTTTCTTTTTTTTATATACAGTCGTACCTTGGTTCTCAAACTTAATCCGTTCCGGGAGTCTGTACGACTCCTGAAACCATTCGAAAACCAAGGTGCGGTTTCTGATTGGCTGCAGGAGCTTCCTGCAATCAAGTGGAAGCCATGTTGGACATTCAGCTTCCAAAAAATGTTCGCAAACCGGAACACTTACTTCCAGGTTTGCGGTGTTCAGGAGCCAAAACGTACGAGTACAAAGGCGTTTGAGAACCAAGGTACGACTGTATAGAATTTTTATTAAATATTTCTGTTTTATATGTTAGAATATTCATTTAAACAACCTTAAAATATCAATGGGACACGGGTGGCGCTGTGGGTTAAACCACAGAGCCTAGGACTTGCCGATCAGAAGGTCGGCGGTTCGAATCCCTGCAACGGGGTGAGCTCCCGTTGCTCAGTCCCTGCTCCTGCCAACCTAGCAGTTCGAAAACATGTCAAAGTGCAAGTAGATAAATAGGTATCCTTTAAGGTAAAGGTAAAGGGACCCCTGACCATTAGGTCCAGTCATGACCGACTCTGGGGTTGCGGCACTCATCTCGCTTTATTGGCCAAGGGAGCTGGTGTTTGTCCGCAGACAGCTTCCGGGTCATGTGGCCAGTATGACTAAGCTGCTTCTGGCGAACCAGAGCAGTGCACGGAAATGCCGTTTTCCTTCCCGCCAGAGCAGTACCTATTTATCTACTTGCACTTTGATGTGCTTTCAAACTGCTAGGTTGGCAGGAGCAGGGACCGAGCAACAGGAGCTCACCCCATCATCAAAGGGCTCCCTTTACCTTTACCTAAAATATCAATGACTTCCCTTCTTCTCTTTCCATGGTTCATTTCGCATACTGTAAATTGCTGCATATTTTACATGAACTAAACCATTCAGTATTCCAATATCACATCCGTCAAAACTTATTTACACTGTTGAATTTATCTTAATGCTGCCAATGTTTTCAAATGTACACAATTTCTCCCTATATATTCAATAAACATTTTCCAATCTTCTTTAAACATATGTTCTTCTTGTTCTAAGGCATTCAGCCCTGTTGGATTGGACAAAAGGTCCGTCTAGTTTGGATTCCTGTTCCCAAAAGGGGCAAACAAACTTTTGGAAACCTCTGATGAAGCCTCTGATGCAAGAACCCACCACTGTTCTCCATCCCCCAGCAACCGGTGTTCAAAGGTACACTTCGTCTGAGCATGGAGGCTCCTCAGCGGTCATCAGCAGTATACACACACACACTTAATGGTTTTCCTAAATGCTTTCATTAAAGCTGGTCCTGTTTCTTACATTATTTCACAACCGTACAAACACACACAAAGTTTGCAGTCTGTTAGGGCTATTCACACATTACGTTCAGTGAGTGTACAACCAGTGTACAGAAACTGCACATACACTATTCCTATGTAATCTTCAACGAGTGTACAGTCTGTGCATTCCTCCAGGATTTCCTTCTGGTCTAGCATTTTGTTTTCACATAATGGGGTGTGGGAAATAAGTTGTCTCTTCTTTCCCCGCCCCCATTTTATTAGAGAACCTTAAAAAAAAAAAAAATTACCTGCTGCTCTTTTCTCTGGGCTTCTCGCTGCCTCATCAGGAAGTCTTCCGACAAGGCGACTGCTTGGGCGCAGGTTTCTGGGCTGTGCTCCCGGACCCAGTTCTGGATTTCCTGGGGCAGGACTGTCAGGAACTGCTCCACGACCACGGCCTCCAGGATCTGCTCCTTGCTGTGCCTCTCGGGCCTCAGCCACTGGTGGCAGAGCTCCTGCAGCTGCCGGCAGACTTCCCGGGGCCCCTCGGCCTCCTGGTAGCGATGGCGTCGGAAGCGCTGGCGCCGCACCTCCATGCTGACCGTGTCATCACCAGGGGTCTCCTCCTTCACACTCCCATAGCCCCTTCGCTCTCGGTGCCCTGAGCCACCGTAGACTGGCTGGGCTTCCCGGCTGAGGCCCGGCAGGCTCTGGGCTACCCACCCTCCGGGGGGCCACTGGCTCGGGTTGGCAGCTGCCTCATAGGAGGTCTGGAATGAATTGGTGTCCCACTGCAAGGGCTTGTGCAGTGGTGGGTTCCGCCACCCTGGCTGGGGATAGGGCACTGCCTTGGGGAACTCCTGCCTCTGGGCCTCCCAGTGCTGCTGCAGACCCTCGTCCGGCTCCTGCTTCACCTGCTGAGGAGCTTCCCCGGCCAAAAACTCCCGCATGGAGCCAACCGGAAGGAAGCGGGAAGCTGCCCCTCCCCCTAGTTCGTGACCAGATGGGTCTTGCGCCTCCATTTTCATCGCTGGCTGCATTCCTGGTTCTGGAGCACCCTGGAACTGCAGGTGGAGGGCAGCCGTTTCCCCTCTCCCCGTAGCCATATTGTGTCAACCCACAAGGGAAATTCCTGTCTCGTGTCGGAGGTCGGCAAGGCGAGGCCCGTGGGCCCAATCTGGCCACCCGATTGATACCCTCTTGCCTCTCCCCAAAAGCAGAGGTAAAGGAGGGGAGCAGACAGACTTGCAGGGAGAAGGGGGCTTGTCGGCAGGCTCCAGTTGGGGGTGGGTGGGGGTGCCTGCCCACCCCCAATTCCTCGGAGCAGGTATTCTGGTAAAACTAGCCACCAAATGGAAGCTTAAGTCCACAGCAGAGATGGGAAATCATCTGGCAGGATGCAAGATGGTGTCGCAAGGCGAATGGCCCAATCCAAGCAGAGCCTTCAGGGTCTTCAGGGCAAGATACAGGAGCTGGAAATGTCTTCTTGTGCTTTGCACCTGCAGGAGGGAGGGGAATAAAGATTCTTTACTCTTACTGTAGGAAGACTGCTTTCTCCAGTATGAATCCTCACAGAAGGCCTGACTGCAAGCCCAGAGCAGTGACTCGGCCAGAAACATAAGAGGCAGACTCACGGATGGTGCCATTCCGCTATGTAGGGAGTAACTGAGTAACTCTGTAATTTGAAAGAGATGCTTGTTCCCGTGTTCTGTACAACTGCGTCTCTGATGCTGAGTGAACCTTCCCCTGTTTGGGCTCAAGTCAATAGGCATGGGCAGGTGGCAGGATCCCATCCTCCAGGAATCCTCGTCCTAAGCTGTTTAGGGCTCTAAGAAGTCGCACCCAACACTTTGATCAGGGATTGGAGACAGACCTGAAGGCCAGTCCAGCTACAACAGCAATAGAGTTATTTGCTCCAAAGTTCAGGAGTATTGCACCAAGGGGGGAAATTTAAGGCGGCGGGGGGAGGGGGGTTAGACCAGGCAGCATGGGTCCTGCAAACCGCCCAAGGATTCCAGTTGCCAGCGCCCAGCTCTGCCAAGTCCAGAGAAATGTTCCACATTTTTAACTAAGGGGGGGGGGGAGTATCTTCATCTTCACATCCCATGAAACACACTTTCTGAACAGCTGGGAGTCATAAATCAGGACAGACACAGAGGCCGTCTGCAAAGAAGTGGAACGAGAGGTGACAGGAAAAAGGTGTGCTCAAAGATTGTGTGAATGATCACAAGAGGGCTGTGGCAGGAAGCAGGTGGCATGCATGGAGGGCAAGGGCCAACACGCTGGATTATGCGGGAACGCAGGAAGTTGCCTTACACAGAAGCAGGTCTCCAGGGTTTCAGGCAGGGGTCTCCCCCCCCCCCCCCAGATGGTTTTGCTCCAGTTAGAGGCAAAAATGCATCTGAATACGAGTTGCTGGAAACCACAGGAAGGTGTGTGGGGAGGTGCTCCTGTGTTCATGCGCTGTTCCTCGCAGGTTTCCCCACAGGCCAGCCACGGTGAGACTAGGATGCTGGACTAGATGGGCCACTGGCCTGATTCAGCAGAGCCTTCCTTATGTTTGTATATTCTTAGTTCCCAGGGACTGAACCTGGGGCCTTCTGGAGGCAGAGCAGATGTCCCACCACTCAGCTGTGCTCCTTGGATAACATATGGGGACTGAAGGAAGTGTCAAGGGGTGTGAGCGGAGAGACAGAAGTCTGAGGTGGGAGGGAGCAAAATCTGCAGACCAACTTTCTGCAAAAAAACCCCCAGCAAAGAGCTGCCAGGTGTTGGTGAATCTTCCTGCTTATTCTCTGGCTGAGGGCCCCAACCTCCTTTCAACATTTTGATACATGCAAGCAGGGGTTGGGGTAGGGGGCTGCAGCGGTTTGACAGGAGTGCTGGACAGCTCTCTTAGAGCCACACAAACCCTGCCTGCAGCTGCACGGCTCTTAGCCCCCATCCGCTGAACATAATCTCATACAGTAGTTGTTTATGTGGCATCTCTAACGCTTTCTATGCAATTGACAGGCAATGCGAAGAAAGGAAAGAGGGACGAGGAGGGCAAAGAAAACGCAAGCGAAAACCCAGTTTAAAAATTGGGCAGCGCCGGTGCCCTTCCTTTGTTCCCAGGATTATGTCATTCTCTCTCTGTTCCCCCCCCCCCCGCCTCCCGTCCTTGCAGAATCTGCACTACACCCCCCCCCATCCATCCCCTCCTGGCTCTGCTCTTGAATTGGGTGGAGAAGCAGCACAGAGCCCCTCCTGCCCCACTTGATCTGGGTGAAAGGGGTTTTTTTGGGGGGGGAGCTGTCTCTTTAGGGGGGGGGCTACATGCTTGCCCCCTCCCCCTGTCTCCTCCATCCCTCGCTCTCCCCCTCCTCCCCTGCTCATCTCCCCCCTCTTTCCGCCCTCCCCCACCCCACCGATCATCTCGACACACCTCTCGCCGGCTGCAGACTCCGGATCCTCCCGCAGCCCCCCAGGCGCCCGAGTTTTAGATGCAGCCCGAGAGGCTGCCGCTGCTGCTGCTTCCCACCCAAGCCAAGAGGAAAGCACAGGAAGAGGAAACTCGCCCGACCTCGCACTTCCGGGTTTGTCTAGGCGCAGGGGGCGCCGCTCGTTTTAACCCTTCAGACGGGAAGCGAAGGAAAAAAGGGTGAGTGAGTGGATTTCTCAAGGGCCAAAGGCTTTGTTGTGCATAGTCAGAGCCTTATTTATTTATATAAAGGAGCTTGTTCCCCTTCAAAGTTGGGGCTTTATTGTCCCAACAGGCTTTTGGGAACTGACTGTTTTTAAGGAAAGGGCTGGTGCTGTGATGTTTTTAATGGTACTTATCTGTATGTTTTAACAGATTATTTGCAATGTTTAATTGCTTTTTAGGGTTGTCCCCCCCCCCCCCCACGTTTTTAGCTGTTTCTGTTTTATCTGTGAGCCACCTTGAGTCTCATCAGGGAAAAAGTCAGGGAATAATAATAATGATACTGTAATGATATTTAGAACCTACCCCAGTCCTGTGGTTGTAATTCTCCCCCTACCCATTTCCTTTTTTTAAAAAAAAAAAAGATTGTGACCTGCCCTGAGACCTTAAGGTGAAAAGTGTGCAATAAATCAAAACAACAAGGATTGCTTTATTTCATTTTGACATGGTGGAACCCTGAAATCGCTTGAGATCCTGTTCTGCATGTCCACTGCAGTGCACCTCTGAAAGAAATAAGCCTCATTGCTCAGAGGCTTCGGAAACACTGTTGTCATGGATAGAAATCTAGTTATTGATTATAAAATGCAAATAAGGGCAGAGGATCTGCTGTTTGGGATGCTTTCAATCAAGGAAACACAGGTTGTGACAGAACACCCTGCATTGGTTAATTGCATAGAATCTCCTGCCTGGAAGACGAAGGGAGGAAGTATTTTTAGAATTTAAGACAGTAAGACTGCCTTTATTTCCTGCCTACCCACACTTATTGGTGGGAAAGCCCGTCAATTGGATAATGCACTTAGACTGCTGCAAAGTACAGTCTAAAAATTATGTTATTCATAACAGGACTCTAATGCCCACTTTCCATCTCAGGCAATTAGCTATTAATTCTTTTGTCATTTATTAGTTTTATGTAAAATACAAATTATTTTTTCCCCTATGGTTATGTTTTAATAAGAAAATAAGTTATAGGGAGAGTAGACCCATTTTAATGAACCTATTGATTTTAATATGTTCTTAGTAGGACGAACATTGTATACAACTGTTCAGTTTACACACTGTGTATATCTGTCCCCGGTTCTTAAAAGTTTTGAAACGAAGAGCAGCTACTTCTGAGCAAATCAGTTGTTTATGTCCCACCCCACACAATCTGCTTTCTAAACAGGCTCCAGTTAATATGGGCACCTGTAACAAAATGTTGCAGCATGAAATGATCCCTGTTCACCAGGCTACTGCATTTCATTCCTGCCCCGCTGATTTTCTGTACTCCCCCCACCTTCCACAATCGTTACTATTCTGTGACTACTTGTCCTACCCGACCCACACCTTTTTTCTTTTTCTTAAAGGAATGTATATTCCAGGGTTTTCACTGCAAAACTTTCTGATAATGCATAAATTCTCTTCTGACCAATGTACTATGGATACCTTGGGAAAACAGAGGAGAAGATCACATGAATTTTCACCATGTTTAAAAAATAATAATCAGAAACTAATCTGGAGAACTGCACAAGATCAGAAAGATAAAAACTGAAATTGAAATTGTTAGATTCATCCATCCCTATCCAAATTTTGGTGTCTGCTAGGCAGACTCACTCAAGAGGATCAGAGGGCATCCCTTCCAGGGTCCGATGGGTCTTCATTATACGGCCTGTGGTAGGCGGTGAATCCCCTTCTTTTTTTCCTCTTTTCCCTTCTAGGAGGTGAGAAGAACCTTGCAGAAGTAAGTGGATCCTGCTCATCTCCATTAATATCACTCTGTGACACTGGAAAAGGTCCAGGAGGAGATGACATAAAACCCGACTCTTCAAGCTCTTAGGATGTGGCAAAAGGTTCCAAGAAGGGAGCAGGAGCTGAGGTGTGTGTCATGTTCCTGAACATATCCCAGCTGCAATATGTAACTTCAAGGTGTCATTTGGGTTCATGATAAGAGGCTAGAAGGAACATTTTACTTTTGTCAGCAGCAGCAATCATCTTTTTCTCCTCCACATTTTTCTTACATTTTGTAAGTAATGCAGCCAAAATTGAAAAGCTCTGAGCAGGATGGTATCACTTGATTTTATTTCTCCATTTGAGTAGATATAAGTGAGGAGATTCAGAGACCTGGGGCTGCTCCTTTGGCCCTCAGATGTCTGGCTCTGGAGTCCCTAGTAAGGAGAAATCATCTGCCCTCTGTGACTCCATTCCTCTGTGTGTGTCTCTCGGCTTTCCTCCTCTCAATTGCTTTCTTTTGCTGCACTCAGAAATTCTGCAATTGAATGGGTTAATGTTTATTTTCCCCATCAGGTGTCAGCTAAGGGAGACATTTAAGAATCCAATGGATTTCCTATCAAAGTTGAAGAGGCGGATCTCAAAATTCTGCATTAAAAATCCCATTCTGTATGTTGGGATGAAGGATATCAAAGGTAGGATTACTGCAAGGATTTTGCACCCGACAATGTATTAGTCTGAAAATTGAACATCCCAGGCTCTTACTGTGTTTTATTTACTTTCCCCACAAACAGCAATAGGAGCAGCAGTTTCCTTCTGGTTATCCTGGAGGTTTTCAAGGGAAAGACATTTGTTAGGTTGCCTACATTGATTTCTTCTCTCTCATTTCAATGTAAGCCTCTGAAAGCCCCAAATGGGCAATTCACACGGAGAGATTCAAAGGAGGACCATTTTTCTCCTCTTGCCCCCATCCATCCCTCCTCCCCTTCACTGCATAGAAGAGCTGAGTGAATATTTTCTGGGCTGTTTTGCTTCTTGTAGGGTGACTTGATTGACAGGAGGGATACAAACCTGCTGGGGAAGGAATTTGTTCTGAGGTGAGCCTGGCAGAAAGGGGGGAGGATCCCAATCCTGAATGAAACGTGAGGAATCCCCATTTATCAGATAGCAAATTTGGTTATTCCGAGTGTTTCTTGGATCAGGATGTCCGTCTCTGCCTCTTGGCTGATTCTGCCTCTCTTCTCTTTCCCTCATCTTCTCCCCAACAGCAAATGTCACTCTGCATCCAGACACAGCCCGTCAATGGCTCCTCCTGTATGAGGATCAGAGCAATGTCATATACAGAGACAAATATCTATTGGTGCCCAATAATCCTGAGAGATTCAACTATTGGCATTGTGTGTTGGGACATCAGGGATTCACAGCAGGCAGACATTTCTGGGAGGTCGCAGTGGAAAGTGCAGAAGGGTGGGTTTTAATGGTCGCCAGCAAGTGTGAGTGGAGAAGGGGCTGCTTCAAGGTAAGGCGTGGGGGAAGGACCTGGTGTGTGAGGATGGAGGAGGATGAGTACGAGGTCTCTAACTGCCATCGTTACTCTCCTCTGTCCCTGAGTGAGAAGCCCAGGAGGATCCGGGTGACTCTGGACTATGAAGGAGGATGTTTGTCTTTCTCTGATGCTTACTCAGGAACCGAACTCTACACGTTCTCAGAAGACTCATTCTATGGAGAGACCCTCCTCCCTTTCATTTGGCTGTGGGGAAAAGCCCCCCTCAGCATCTCCTGGGGAGACTAAATCTGCCTCACAAGCCCGGTTGAAGTTTCTCTCCACACCAGAATGACTGAGATGAAAACATTTGCCAGTTTTGACCTCTTTGCAGAGACCTTTCGAGAGGAGTCACAATCAGCAGAAATAAGAAAAGGAACGAAACCCGGGATTTTCTTTTTCTTTCCTTTTTCCAGAATTTCAGCCTCCACTAACTTTGACCCACATTTCATTGCTCACCTACACCAATTGTTAAAATACACACATATTCCTAGAAAATAGAACTGCCGCTCTGGTTGCGGATTTTTTGGGGTGCGAACAGCACCCCAGAACGGATCATGTCCGCAACCAGAGGTACCGCTGTGTCTCTGAATTCAGCAAAGCCTTTGACTAATTGTTTTTGGGATTGCTTCATAAATCTTTTGTATTAACAATTGGATTCTCTATATCAGGGGTAGCCGATATGGTGTCCTGGATGATGTCGGGCTACAACTCCCATCAGCCCCTACCAGCATGGTCAGGAGTCAGAGATGATGGGAGTTGTAGTCCAGCAACATGGCTATGTGTGCCCTATATAAGTCACATGCTGTGGTCCCCACCTCAGTTGTGGGATACACCACTAATGAGTGTTTTTTTCAGAATCGGCAGGATCTCCCCCAACCCCTGGCTTTTGGTAACTGGTTTGATATACAGTGGTACTTCTGGTTACGAACTTAATTCGTTCCGAGGTCTGTTCTTAACCTGAAACTGTTCTTAATCTGAAGCACCACTTTAGGTAATGGGGCCTCCTGCTGCCGCCGTGCGATTTCTGTTCTCATTCTGAAGCAAACTTCTTAACCTGAGGTACTATTTGTGGGTAAGCGGAGTCTGTAACCTGAAGTGTTTGTAACCCGAATTACCACTGTACTGTACTTTAATCTTTAGAAAGATGTTGTTTTCTCTCTTGCGGGTTTTTGGTGCTCTGTTAATTGTTCATGATCTTATGCTGTTTTTATGGTTTTACAATAGTTTTTTTGGGGGGTGGGGAGGACAGCTTTTGTATTGTTTTCAAACAATTTTATTTGTATTTTATGGATTTCAATTGTTGGTTATTTGGGATGTATATGCCAGTAAAAACAACAACACAGTATTAAAGAAAAGCTCCAAAATCTCCATTGCGTGCTGTTGAGGAGCCCCTCAACTTTTTGTGGGTGTGTATTGTGATGTGCCATTGATGCAATTATAGTGTGTTAGTCATGGATTTATGCTGGACTGTCCACACATCCAGAAGGGACGTGGGTGGCGCTGTGGGTTAAACCACAGAGCCTAGGACTTGCTGATCAGAAGGTCGGTGGATGAATCCCCGCGACAGGGTGAGCTCCCGTTGCTTGGTTCCTGCTCCTGCCAAGCTAGCAGTTCGAAAGCACGTCAAAGTGCAAGTAGATAAATAGGTATCGCTCTGGCGGGAAGGTACCGGTAAATGGCGTTTTCATGCGCTGCTCTGGTTCGCAAGAAGCGGCTTAGTCATGCTGGCCACATGACCTGGTAGCTGTACACCGGCTCCCTCGGCCAATAAAGCGAGATGAGCACCGCAACCCCAGAGTCGGTCACGACTAGACCTAATAGTCAGGGGTCCCTTTACCTTTACCTTTATCCACACATCCACTGTGCTTCAGTAGCTATTCTGCAATATTTCCAGAATGTTTCCCTGTTATTGCCATTTGGAAGGGCACTCTTGGGCTGCAATGAAAGAGAAAACCCCAGCAGAACATTTCCGGCATGAAAATTTATGGGATTACAACAGGAAGCAATTGGACATGGACTGATAAGAAATGAAGAACTTAGGACCCCTGCAATCTTTTGGAGACACAAAAGGCCTTGAAACTGGGATTGCATGAGTTCGCAGAGAGCACTATGCTGAGATATAATCACAATTACATAATAAAAGGAGTATGTATAAATCCTGGGAGTGTTTGCATTTTGTGTTGGAGTGGGATGATTGCTGAGAGCTCCGACTCTGGGTGAATGTGGGCTGGGGATCATAGTAAGAAAAAGAAAAACCCATTCTACCCACTATTTTAATATATTCGAAGCTGCCACCCATCTGTCTTGGGAGACAATGGAGGAGTGAGCCTTTGCCACTTAAGTCAAGCTCATGAGGTTACAGTGCCTGCTGGGCCTGTAGAGACCAATACAGTGGTACCTCGGGTTAAGAACTTAATTCGTTCCGGAGGTCCGTTCTTAACCTGAAACTGTTCTTAACCTGAGGTACCACTTTAGCTAATGGGGCCTCCTGCTGCCGCCGCTCCGCAATTTCTGTTCTCATCCTGAAGTAAAGTTCTTAAACCAAGGTACTATTTCTGGGTTAGCGGAGTCTGTAACCTGAAGCGTCTGTAACCTGAAGCGTAACCCGAGGTACCACTGTACAGGAAGGGAGAAGGGAGGAACTGCCGCGGGAGAATCCCGCCAGCGCTGCCCGCTCCCCCTTTGCGCAAGCGGCCTCTCCGGAGCGCGCTCCTCCCGAGGACTCGCCCGGCCTCCCTCCGCCTAGGCGGGCTGCAGCCCCGGCGCCCGGGATCCCCAGCTCTCCATCTCCATAGACGCCGCTGACCGGATCTCGCCGCGGCTGCTCCAGGAAGCTCTGCCCACCGCCGCCGAGGCGCCCGGCGGAGACGGGAAGAGGGAAGAGCGGAGCCTCGGCGAGGCGCCGGAGCAGAGCCGCCTGGCGGTGGGACGCGCGCACGGGAAGGCGCCGGAGAGACCTCGCATCGCACGGCTGCCTGCGCCTGGGAGAGCAAGCGGGAGATCGGCAGAGAAGTGTTGCAGTGCAGGGAGGGTGCCGCTGCTCAGGGTTGCAGCCAATCATAACCTTTTTTCAAGATACTCCATTGCATACCATTTTCTCCCCAGTTTCCTGTTTCCGCACAATCTGCTTTCTGATAATGCTCCTGATATCATGGGCACCTGCAACAAAATGTTGCAGCGTGGAACGATCCCCTTTCAAAAGGCCACTGCATTTCATTCCCGCCCCACTGGGTTTCTATCCTCCCTCCACAATCGTCACCATTCTGTGACTACTTGTCCTCCCTGCCCCCAACCTTTTTTAAAAAAGCCTGGTGTTTCAATTACTCAGTTTGTGGGGCGCTGCAAAACGCGAGGTTTTCACTGTACAACTTTGGCACAGATTTGGAGGGGCCCCCAAACTTTCTGAGCATGCTCCTGTTATGGGTACCAGCCAGCTATACCCTTTCCCAAGATACCCCAGCCAGCCATACCCTTTTCTCAAGATACTCCATTGCACACACCCTTTCCCTAGTTTTCTGTTTCCTGCCCGCCCTGCACAGTCAATCTGCTTTCTGTTAATGCTCCTGCTATTATGGGCACCTGCAACAAAATGCTGCAGCGTGAAATGATCCCCATTCACTAGGCCACTGCATTAATTCCTGCCCCACTGGATTTCTGTACTCCCCCCACATTCCACAATAGTCACCATTTTGTGACTACTTGCCCTCCCCAACTCACAACTTTTTTTTTTATTAAAGGAATATATATTGTTACTCGTCAGTTTGTGGGTGATGCAAAACGCTGGGTTTTCGCTGAAAAACTAGTCGTTGCTGGTTTGAAGTGACCTGGACACTGTTGGATTTTGGGGTGTTAACTACGAACCCCGTGTTTCAATTACTGGGAGTGGCCTCTGAGACCATATACTACTTCTTCTTTGGCGATCACTCATAGCTGAGTAAGATTGTCTTCAATAAACACAGTTTTAACAATGAGCCAATTCTGGATCCACACGTCCTTCCACCGTGGGGACATTGGTTTCCAGGCAGGAGTTGATCACTGTGTGGATTTGCCAAGCGTGTCTTCCTCTTAGCACCTTTCTCCTTTGTGTCCTAAGTTTGAGTGTCTTCAAAGCCCATGACACCTTTGGTAAAGGCTGTTCTCCAATTGGAGCACCCACAGGCAAGTGCTTCTGGAACGTGTCCAGAGGAGGGCAACCAAAATGGTCAAAGGCCTGGAAATGATGCCTTATGAGGAACGGCTAAGGGAGCTGGGCATGTTTAGCCTGGAGAAGAGGAGGTTAAGGAGTGATATGATAGCCATGTTCAAATATATAAAAGGATGTCACATGGAGGAGGGAGAAAGGTTGTTTTCTGCTGCTCCAGAGAAGCGGACACGGAGCAATGGAGCCAAACTACAAGAAAGAAGATTCCACCTAAACATTAGGAGGAACTTCCTGACAGTGGGAGCTGTTCGACAGTGGAATTTGCTGCCAAGGAGTGTGGTGGAGTCTCCTACTTTGGAGGTCTTTAAGCAGAGGCTTGACAACCATATGTCAGGAGTGCTCTGATGGTGTTTCCTGCTTGGCAGGGGGTTGGACTCGATGGCCTTTGTGGTCTCTTCCAACTCTATGATTCTATGATTCTATGATTCCCAATTGTCAGTGTTTATACTACATTTTTAAAAATTTGCCTTGAAACAGTCTTTAAACCTCTTTTGTTGACCACCAGCATTATGCTTTCCATTTTTAAGTTCGGAATAGAGTAGTTGCTTCGGAAGACGATAATCAGGCATCTGCAGAACATGACCATTCCAACAAAGTTGATGTTGAAGAATCATTGCTTCAACACTGGTTACCTTTGCTTCTTCCATTACACTGGTATTAATTCGCCTGTCTTCCCAAGTGATGTGTAATTTTTCCCCCCGGAGACACCATTGATGGAATCTTTCAAGGAGCTGGAGATGGCATTTATAAGCGATCCATGTTTCACAAGCATACAGTAAGGTTGGTAGGACAATAGCTTTGTAAACAAGCATTTTGGTTTCCCTGTGAATGTCCCGGTCCTCAAACACTCTGCACTTCAATCGGGAGAAAGCTGTACTTGCAGAGCTCCGACGATGCTGGATTTTGGCATCAATGTTGGCTCTTGTGGAAAGATAACTGCCTAGGTAGGAGAAGCGATTGACATTTCCCAACGTTACACCATTGAGTTGGATTTGTGGTACTGCAGAGGGGCTATTTTGTACGTGTTGGTGCAGCACTTTGGGTTTTTGTTGAGCGATAGGCCAAGCTTTTTGTAAGCTTCTGTGAGGATATTTAGGATGGTTTGGAGGTCATCCTCTGAGCGTGCACACACTACGTTGTCATCAGCATACTGAAGCTCTAGGACGGAAGTTACAGTAACCTTGCTCTTTGCTTTCAGCCTACTCATATTAAAGAGCTTTCCATCTGTTCAATATATGATTTCTACTCTGGTGGAGAGTTTCCCTTCGACAAAGTGTAGGACCATGGCAATAAAATAATGAGTAGAATGTGCCAGACACACGATTTTGAGGGGGTGTGAGCCAGGCGCCCCCTTGCAGGGATCCCACCCCGCCTGGTGCCAGGGGTCTTGCCACCACACCCCTGGCCCTCTCACGGAATGGCAGTGTTGGGGGGAAGCACTAGCCAAGGGCTGCATCAGAAACCTGATATGGAGGGTGGGGTAAGTTAAAATCATATGGGTTAGATGATCCTTGGAATCCCTTCCAACACTACAGTTCTATGATTCTATGAGAAGCAAAGATCAGTGCAATAAGCATGACAATACTGCCAAGGTTTTTGGTTTTGTTTCTTACTCTTCCTCTCTTGGTTGACTTGAGGGAACTGAAAAGTATGGATAATTTTATTTGGCAAAGTTAGTGTTGTCAGGAAAAAGCACCAAGGCAAAAGCCAGCTCCAGATGGCTGGAATGCAAAACAGGATGTTGTGGTTTGCAGATGTACTGTTGGAGAAAAGGTGGAGTCTATTCTCTGTACTGAGCACCGGATGTTAGCTCAGAGTGTCATATGACCTGTGCTGGAAGTACAGGGGAGGAGCTGTGAGTCTCTTCTGATGGAGTCTGAAGGGAGCAGTTGCATTTCTATGTACTGCTGAGTGGCAGGAATAAAACATGTAAAAAGGACTCCTGTCTGTCTCATTTCCCCTCCCTGGGAGAATGCAGGGAGGGAGAGAGAAGCAGAAATGCAGAGGGTGTGTTCTTTCTCAGTCTAATGAGAAGAATCGCCGGGTTTGTTTACCTAGCCTGCCGGGGGTCGCAGACGGAAGGTAAACACAGTATCTCGCTCAATTGCCTCGGGGGAGGCCAGGTACCTCTGACTGTGAGCTAAGATACTGACATATGGCAGCCTTCGGATGGTTACGATTCATCGGACATCTGCATAAGAGGCTGGTGGATTTGTCCTCCTCTGCTCCAAGGGAGAAGGCAAGCGTCTGAGAGAAGCCAGAGGCTCAACAGACGGCTGGTGGAAAGAAGAAGGTGTTTTCCAAGCAACGGAGCTCAAGGTATGCTGCACATTTCGGGCTAAAAGTGTGAACGCAGGTTGAATAATTCCCTGGTTCATGGGAGCTGCGTTTAAAAAAAGCCAGCTCCGGGAGAAGAGGCCTGCAGCTTGGAAGCTGAAGCCTGCATTCCACAAATTCTTGTGGTTGATAAACTGTCCTATTGGAATGCATTGTTGCTAAGTAACGGAAAGTTGGAAAGTTACTGGCAGAGAGGCTGGATTGTGAGGCTGGGCAAAAGTGAAACAAAGCCACAGAGTGTTTTGGCTACAACTTACGAGCTCTTGGAGGGACTTTCCATAGCAGCCAGAGTTTAGCTGCCAGGTGCTAAAAGCATAAACAGGTTGCAGTTTGCCTGCCTGAGAAAAGAAAAAAACAACTGTTGGATTTTACAGCTTGCTTGAGAGTGTGAGCTAGAGGCTTGGCTTCAAGATGGATGCCAAGAAGGGAGCGCTGCCTTGCCCACCTCCCTTAACCAATGACAATTATTCATCTTGGTCTGTTAAGATGAAGGCCCTGCTGCAGAATCAGAGGCTTTTTGATGTAATTGAAAACCCCATCCCTGCAGCACCAACCGGAGGTTGGGAGTCACGGAACGTAAGGGCCAGGACTGCTATAATTCTGTGTGTCTCAGATCAGCAGCTTGTGCATATCCAGCATTTAGAAAATGCGAAAGAGGTTTGGGATATGCTGCGTACAATGCATCAGAGAGATGCTGGTTCTTCAGCGTTGCTGTATTTTGAGAAGTTAACCAATCTGAGACTAGCGCCTGATGGAGATGTTCAAGCGCACCTGACAGAAATGAAGTTTCTGCGTCAACAGATGGTGGAACGCAATTTCCGTCTTCAGGAGGAAGTGTTTTGCTTCATGATGATAAACAGCCTTAATCGCACCTATAAGGTTGTTGCCAGTCAGCTTGGTTCCCTACCGGCCGCGCAGCTAACCGTGGAAAGAGTGTGTGCTGTGGTCCTGAATGAACACGACAGACTTGCTGCACTGGAAGTGAAGGACAGGGGGAGGCAAGAACAGAGTTCAAATCTTCCCACTGCTGAATCTACTGGAGAGCATGGAGTAGCATTGAGTGCTGTCCGATGCCACAATTGTGGACAGACTGGGCATCTACAGCGAAACTGTAGGAAGCCGCGCCAGTCAAAAGGAGCAAAGAGCAGCTCTACGAAGCCTGAGGCGTCAGGCCAAAGCCGTTCCAAGTGCCAGGTGAAACCTGCGAAGGCTATGATGGCGAAAGGAACCACGCCAGATGTTGGGAACGCCTTTATAATCGACACTGGTTGTACAAAACATTTATGCCCACACAGACAACTGTTTTCGACGTTGAAGAAGCAAAGCTTCACTGTGAAACAGGCCAACGGTCAAGAGCTGGAAGCAACCGGTATTGGGACTGTGTATCTTGAGAGTCTGAACTTGACTATAAGTGATGTTTACCTGGTTCCAGAACTGAGATTTAATCTGCTGAGCGTGTCGCAGATTGCAAAGAAAGGACTGAAAATGTCCTATGATGTTAAAAGCTGCAAGATCTACAAAGATGGAGAACTGTTTCTTACTGCCAAAGAGAAAGATGGACTGTATTTGTTGACTTTTGATCAAAGTGATTACATGAAATGTAATTCTTCTGATTCTAACGAAATCTCTCTTGCAGGTGTGACCAGTGTGAGCACCAGGAAGGTGACCAAGAAGGTCGACAGAGCATTTCAGCGGGTGTATGCTGATGTGATTGGTCCTCTAGAACCATCTAGGGGCAGTGCAAAATATTACCTTTTGTGTGTGGATTGTTTCACTAATTATTCTTGGGTTTATATGATGGAGAAACCGCAAGAAACTTTAGAAAAGTTTCAGGAGTTTTGTGACAAGGTTAAAAATATGCATGATGCTAACATTGATTGTCTTTTCACAGATGAGAAGCAAATTTTTCTGTTACAGAAGTTTCAGAAGTTCCTGGATGGAAAAGGGATAGACCACAAAGTTGCAGTTTCGCAAGAAGCGTGGAACAGGGGGGTCTGTGTTAGGGTGAACAAAGAATTGCAAAAGGGGATGCATGCGCAATTGCTGAGTTCACATTTGCCACATGAATATTGGGCCGAATCTCTAGCGTCCTATCTTCATGTGTGGTTGAGAAAAGTCTCAACAGAGTTGGGATGTTCTCCTTTTGAGAAGCTGTTCAATAGAAAACCTTCTGTTGCCTATTTCAAGGTTTTCGGGTCTCATGTGAGAACAGAAGCTCCAGGTGGAGTAAAGAATGCCAGAGGCATTTTTGTGGGTTATGAAAAGGGTCTCTACAGAGTAATTTTGTCTGAATCTGGTCAGGTGATTCTCACAAAGTTTCTAGAGAGTGCTCCAGAACAAGAGCGGGTTGTAGAACAAACATTTCCCACAGGTGGCAATTCAGATGATGATGATGATGATGATGATGATGATTTTTCTGATGTCACAGATTACAGTGGTACTGACGATGACAGTGATAGCTCAGAGAGTTCAGTTGTAACAGTCATTGAGAGAAAATCTCACACAATGGATAGACCTTCACAGATGAAGGAAGAACCACTGTTAGCCAATGCTACTGGTTCTCAACAAAGTCCAGAGGTTGAACCAGTGAGCACAGAGGATCAGAACCTCAAACGCAGGTCTGAGAGAGTTACAAAGGGTGTACCACCAAAGAGGTACTCAAAAGAGTTTGCTAACTTAGCTGTTGCATGTATTGCTATTGTTAACAACTCAAAGCAGGTTGAAGCAGTGTCTAAGTCAGAGACAAAGACACAACAGAGAGTAGCAAGCCAAGGTAATGCAGAAGCACTCATTCCTTGGAAGCCAGACAACCAGAGAGGTACACTGGTGAAACCAGTGGTGGGGAGTTCCAAGGGTGGAACTGAAACAACAGGGGATTGTTATATGTATAACAACTGTTTCTTTTCTTCTCTGGATCATGTTTTGCCTATTGATGCTTTTGGGGGAGGATGTCAGGAAAAAGCACCAAGGCAAAAGCCAGCTCCAGATGGCTGGAATGCAAAACAGGATGTTGTGGTTTGCAGATGTACTGTTGGAGAAAAGGTGGAGTCTATTCTCTGTACTGAGCACCGGATGTTAGCTCAGAGTGTCATATGACCTGTGCTGGAAGTACAGGGGAGGAGCTGTGAGTCTCTTCTGATGGAGTCTGAAGGGAGCAGTTGCATTTCTATGTACTGCTGAGTGGCAGGAATAAAACATGTAAAAAGGACTCCTGTCTGTCTCATTTCCCTCCCTGGGAGAATGCAGGGAGGAGAGAGAAGCAGAGATGCAGAGGGTGTGTTCTTTCTCAGTCTAATGAGAAGAATCGCCGGGTTTGTTTACCTAGCCTGCCGGGGGTCGCAGACGGAAGGTAAACACAGTATCTCGCTCAATTGCCTCGGGGGAGGCCAGGTACCTCTGACTGTGAGCTAAGATACTGACAAGTGTCCCAGAGTGGATAATGTTAATATGCAAACTGTCCCACAGAAGAGAGGATTGGCAGTACCTGATTTAGCTAAGTAGTGTGACCCTGCTTGGCTAACTTTGTTAAATATATCTCAGGAAAAGGAACTCTTTCAGTTGGAAGAGTTATTCATAAATTCCCCACTGGCCAAGATACTAGGGATACCTAGGAAGGACAGAGGAGATCTCATGAATTTTCATCAGAACATTTAAAATTAAAAAGATGGGAACTTAAGATTGGAAAATAATGGAGAGAAACCAGAATTGTTAGATGCATCCATACCTATCCAAAACTTTGGCATATGATAGGCAGATTCACCCCAGAGGGCATCCATTGCAGGGCCTGATGGGTCTTCATTACAGGGCCTGTGGTAGGCAGTGAATTCCATTCTGAGTTTCCTCTTTTCCCTTCTAGGATGTTAAAAGAACTTTGCAGAGGTAAGGGGATCTTGCTCATCTCCAGTAATATCACTCCCTGAAACTTCACAGGTAAACTGGGAAAGAATATAATATAAAGTGGAATAGAAATGAAATGAATAATAATGATGATACTTCACAGTATCTAGATTTACCACACCAACAGCAAACTCCATGATGCCTGCCCCACTAAGTCCCACACAGACACCTGTCCCATGGACCATCTGTGGGACTATTCCACAGAGTCCCACACAGTTACCTGTCACCAGAGTACATGGTTATTTGGGAGGTATATGATATCCAGGGACACAGGTGGCGCTGTGGTCTAAACCACTGAGCCTCTTGGGCTTGCCAATCGGAAGGTCGAGGGTTTGAATCCCTACGAAGGGGTAAGCTCCCATTGCTCTCTCCCAGCTCCTGCCAACCCAGCAGTTGACCGCTACTTTCTCTAGTTCCTTCATCCTGATCTTCTTAGCTGCCAGCACATAGAGTGCTACTTTGTAAGTAACAAAGTCATCGGTGTCACTCAGCAGCCATTTCACCCTTTCCACCCTATTCAAATGTGTTCCATTCATAAACGGGGGTTTTATAAATTGGTCTCTTGGGTCTATGTATAACGGGCACTGCAATAAATCATGGCAAACGTCCTCGACGCAGGGTTGTCCACACAGACAGTATCCCTCTTTGTAATGTACTTTGCCGTACCGTCCATCCAACACCACCGAGGGCATCGATTGGAATCGTAGTTCTGTAAAAGCGATTCTTAGTACGGCAAGTGGGAGCTTTGTCAGGTATCTGGCTCGGGCATGCTCCGTTTTGATAAGTGGGAACCATGTTGAGCTCTTGGTAAAAGCAATCATGGTTAGATCCCTTTCTGCATGGGACCCAAAGAGACAGTCTCTTAAGTGCCTCTTCTCCATCTTCATGGTCACCTGAAGATCTTGTAATTGATATTGGGACAAGAGGCGTTGGATGCCAGCCTTCCAGTATTTGTTCTGCTCCCGTTCTGTGTAAGACATAGCAGGGAATCTCTCCTCCAAAAGAGACTGAAGTCTTTTCACATAATTTAGGCACAGGGAATCATTTCTAGCCTGTATTGTTGTCACGTCAGCTTCAGCATGAAGAAGAGCAGCTGGGGTCCCGTTGGGGAGCGAGACCACTTTCCTGAGCAATTTGTTCTACACTATTTCTAAGGCTTTGTTAGCCTTTAGGTCCATGGCCCATATCGCTATTCCATGGAGCATCTGGGAAACCACTTTGCTGGCAAAGATTTTCAGCACAGGTTCTAGTAACTGGCCACCCACCGTAAAATAGAATTCCATTAATGCCCCACAAGCTTTCTGCGCTTTGAGTTTCGTAGCCTCAATGTGCCCCTTCCATGATAGCGTCTCAGTGAAGAGAACTCCCAGATATCTGAAGTAGCGTGTTTGCTCCAGATTCTGCTGATCCAAAGACCATAATTTTGGTCTTGGGGTAATTCACAACGAGGTCTTCCCACTTGCAATACATGCTAAACGCTATAAGCAGATTGTTAAGACCTAATTGGGAGAGTGATAGGAGCACCACATCATCGGCATACAGCAGACAAGATATTTTCCTATTGCCAATTGATGGGGCGGGGGATTGCGCCAGTGCTAGGTGTGGCACCATATCATTTAGTAAAAGTTGAAGAGTGTGGGAGCCAATATGCAGCCTTGATTCATGCCATTCTACCCACTGTTTTAATATATTCAAAGCTGGCATCCATCTTTCTTGGGAGGCAATGGAGGAGTACATCTTTGGGTGAGGTCAAACTTGTTGGAAGATTGCAGCGCCTGCTGTGGCTGTAGAGACCATTGCAGGAGAGACATGTTTTGTGTCAGCTGGGGCAGATTAAGGTTTCTTGTTGTGCTGCTGCAGATGAACCAGGGCATTTCATCTCTCTATTCTCCTCCTAGCGGTCATTCCTTCTTTGGCCGCTGCTGTGGATACGTGACCTGTCTGTCTCTAGGCACTGCAATCACCTGCAAGGGATTCCAAAATGCCGGGTTGATGTTGTCGGCCTTCATGTCATGTTTGCAGACATTTTTGAAACACAGAGTTGGTCTGCCAGTGGGCCTGGTGCCTGAAGTCAGCTCCCTGCCAGATGACATCCCAGAGCAGAGCAGGGGATTACTATGTCCAGACAAGGAAGAGAGAGCGGTCTCTGCTAAGCGCTTCTTTCTTGAAGCAGAGACTGCTCCCTCACAAGGACAGTGATTTGCATTCTATTCATTCATAAAAGAATTTACACATCACCCAAGGACAACATGCTACCACAGTGTACAAGCATGGAAAGCAATGCAAATCAATTGAGGCTGCTCAAGACACCGCTAAGCAGCTGTGCAGGCCTGCCAGGATAAAAACAGCAACAGCCAAGCACATCAGCCCTGAGATTGCGAGTCATTTGCAGACAGGGAAACTCCCACAGACTGAGAACTGAGAAAGTGAAAGTGAAAGTGAAAGTCAGCTGTGCCTTCACTGTGAGGCAGCAGCCATGGCTGGTTCTGGGGGTCCCGTCCAGGATCTCTGTACTGAAGCCACTTGTCCCATCTGCCTGGATTACTTCAAGGATCAAGTGACCACTGTGTGTGCGCATGATTTCTGCCGAGGCTGCTTGACCTAGTATTTGGGGGGTGGGGGGTGGGCATTGCCTCATAGGCTTCCTGCCCTCAATGCAGAGAAACAGTTCACCCTTCCAATCGGGATTCAGACCCCATCATGGGACTGAAACAGCACTGTCCGATGATTTACAGCAGGCTAGGGAAAGCATGGGTCAAAGCAGTTTCTTGTTTGCCCCTCTGCTTTCCCTGGGAAAACCCACTGAATTAGGAATAAATGTCAATCCTCAGAAAAACAAATAGATCTTTTCCCCAGTCAGTGGCGTAGCGTGGGTTGTCAGCACCCGGGGCAAGGCAAGTAATTTGCGCCCCCTAACCAGTGGATTTTAGCACTCGAGTGCGAGCGCCTCCCCCAGGTGTTGCGCCCGGCCCCCCTGCACCCCCCCACGCTACGCCACTGGGGCTGGGGGCAAGCGAAGGAGCCAAGGACCCCCCCCCAAAGGCTCAGCAGGAATTTATTAAATTTATTATTTGCGGAGCCCCCGCGGGCCGAGGCAGCCGAAGCCCCCTCCCCTCAGGCGCCTCCCCGCCCCCTCCTCTCCTTGGGCTGTAGGTGGAGCTCCAGATCCGGGCTTGGCGAGCGCCTCTCCTCCTCCCGGCCGGGTCCGGGGGCTTCCAGCCGTGCTCCGTCCTCGCCCCCCCCCCGCGGTTGAGACTTGCGCTGAGAGCCGGAGCCAGCGGCGCCCCCTTCTGCCGGGAGACCCTCGCCCGCCCGCCGGCTTCCTCTCGGAGGGTTTTGGGGAGCGCAAGGCGCGGCGAGGCCCCTCGGAGCTCTCCTCCCTCCCAGTCAGCAGAAGCAGCCGCCGCCTGTGGCTGGGCCGAGGGGATGGCAGCGGCGGCGGGGTGCGGAGGCTGCCCGTGCCCGGCCAGGCGTTGGTGGCAGCGTCGGCGCTGCTGCAGCGGCTGCTCCTCCTGCGAGCAGTGAGTGGAGCGCAGTCGCAGCGGCGGCGGGGAGCGCGCACGCGCTAGGGCGTAAGGCTGGCGGTAGCGGCGGGGAGCCCGGCGGAGGAAGGAACTTGTCCCTTCCCTCTGGACTCGCGCCCCCCCCAATGTTGCGCCCGGTGCGGCCGGCACCCTTGGCACCCCCCACGCTACGCCACTGTCCCCAGTTCAGCTGCAAACAGCAAGCAGAGGTGAGTGTGACCCCGAAGTGGGTCCCTGGGGTCGGGTCTGTCCTAAAGTGCTTCCCTGATGGCACTATGGATAGGAGGAGGGGAAGAGTCAGGCGTCCAATGCAGAAAGTAAAAAAAGAATTATTTGTCTGCATCCTGAAGAAAATGGGTGTGGAGGAACATTCAGACAAAGTTCAAAGCTATCACTTATTAACCAAGTAATGCCACATTTATGACAGCTGATAAAAATACCTGTTCAGGGGGGAAAACATGGCTTTGTTTTATACAATTATAAATATATGCCAAAGGCCTGTTTTTATTCTTTTTGAAAAAGAGCCGTTCATGTTTGGGGTGAGATGAGGTGGTGAGCAAATGGGTGTTCTGTTAGGAGGAGAGAAGATGGAGGGGGAGAAGGAAGCTGAGATCTCCCAGCAGAAGAAAAGAACAGTTGCAAGTTGTCGTCACAGCTGTAAAAAGTGCACACGCTTTGCCCCTCCCTAAAGAAAGAGCAAGGACACAGGAGCAGGAACAGCCAGGAAGAAGAAGGAAAGGCAACCCCAGAACTTCTCCTTGATTGATCACACCATCTCC